ACAAGGCTCCATGAAGAACCACCAAGGGAGGGGCCTTCCCCCAAAGTCTTCTCCGCAGAGGCCGTGAAGCTGAGGCCAAAGGGAAAACAGAAAAATGTTGATTTGTTGGTCTGGTCAGCTGGTTGGTTTGTTTGCTGGTTCTTTATTGATTCTTGCTAGCTTTCGCCACCTTTCTAAAATCAAAGATGCTGTGACCCAAAAAAAACACGGACGTATCCAACAGGTAGATATCTAGGATCCACCAGTAAGTATCCAGCCCTAGCATACACTAAGCATAAAGAATACACTGGGCGTAGGAAGAAATGATATATATATATATATATAATATATATATATATATATACATATATCCATATAAATATATATACACACTGAATGAATGATTATGTCGAAATATATTTGTCGGTTGGAAGAGATATTCTTGTCGACCAGAATTACTCCTTGTCGGGGAGAACCAGAATTAGTCGAGCATACGCCGCCGTCTGTGCATATCATGTCTTTATAACTACGCTTATATAATCAAATACATTGGACATCATTGAACACACGAAACGAAAGCCCTTTGCTTTTCTTTTATGGATCGGGATGGGCGCCCGAGTCTCTTGGTTGAAATGGTTGACATCAAAGCGCAGAAGCATCACCATGTGTGTACCATGATCAAAACTAATGGTATCAATGATGATATAATATCAATATTAACTAGTGGTATATTTAACAATATTATAATGATATGATGATAACATATGATAACCATTTAACTAATGGTATCAATTAATGGTATAATATGCTATATCTAAGTATATTTATATGGCTTGTGGTCAACTCATAATGGGAATTGAGCCCAGCAACGTCTCGACAGGCGCTGAGATCCTTAGGCTTTGGCGGCTTTGAGGAAATTGGACCATCAAATTCTGTCCCTATCCAAGGATGTAAAAAGGAGGCCCCAAAGCATGAAGAATGAAGGATTTTTAATGGATTTTTGTGGTATAGCCGGTCTAGCTAAAAGATGCTAGAAGAAATAACATAAGTTTAAGTTTGACCAATTCAACTTAAAATGTATGGATGTAACATGATGCAACCACCATGAAACTCTGCTATTTTTTCCAGGAAATTTAGTTTTACCGGACGAGTCTGCAGGAAACTTCCACAAAAAACAATTCCAGATTTGGCAAATTTGCTGGAAACCTCAACTTGGTTCCTGTAAATGTATTTTCAATCAGAAAAACTGTCGGGATTTGGAAGATTAAGGGATCACGTTTCCTGAAAGATCGCCCAGACGGACCTTGACCCTGAAAAAGGCCCTATTGAGCCACTTTTCCAATGCCCGAAACATCACCAATGGGTGACTTTCTGCTTTGCCAACCATCGTGTTTGATTCCAACATATTTCAACCGCATCATACATCATACCACATCCAAAACGGGCACAGTGCCGAACGAGCTTCGTACATGCAGGGATTGGGAGGTCCCGGTGCCAGACAGGGCTGCAATTTCTTGCATCCAGACAGTTGCAGGGAGCTGGTACAACTTGCCTTCAACGCGGACGAGAGCTGGATGAGCATCCCACGGACGGTATCCATATCCCCAAGCGCTAACTGGGATGCACCCTCCAAGTGATCCAAGTGGTGCTTTTCAGGGGAATGTACACTATAGGGATAAAGGAAACTGGACAAAATCCGTAAAATGAATCAAAATGAGACATATCAAACAAATAAACACATGTGTCATCACAAAATCACAAGGGATGAGGAAAACAAACTGAGTCACCATTTTGTTGTGGATCCAACACCACCTACGTAACCCTTCCAAAAATGGGGGTACCCCAAATCATCCAAAATTAGACCCTTTAAAAGCCATGCTTTTGAGGATCCCCCAATTGAAGAAAACCCTCATTTCTTTGTGTATCTCTATGCGAATGAGGAGAAGCACCTCATTGCTTAAGTGTCCAACCTCGTCTAGAACGCAAATGCCCACAGCTGCACCTCGGTTGCAGAGATGCACCACGTGGATTGACCATGACTCGAAAATATGGTAGCTAACGGGCACCAAAGCAATTTTTTGTTGGTGTGTTTTGGGTGAATTCATCTGCTTGGCCATCGAATTCGAGGATAGATAGGTTTGAGGATTTCACATGTACTTAGAAGATTTTCGAAGACCTTAGAAGGACTGCAATGCCTACCGCACTGAACAAATCATCATATGGTTTGCTTCGCACGAGAAAAGAACACCTTTTGGGGGGCCAACCACGCCCTTCAACAGTCAACCTCCACCCGTCAGGGTAGCGGAATTTGGGAAATGCCCAGTAGGCAATCCAATTTTGCCATCCAGCGAAATGTCTTTGAATCACCACAAGATGGCCCGGAAAAAAAAAAAACACGTTGTTCTATGGTGCACTGAGCATTGGATGCGAATCCAAATGATCCAAATGTACCGTGGCCATCTGCACAGAGCCCTCCAGCCTTTTTTCACAGGCGTCTTGTCTGCTGCGATCCGCACAACTACGTCACGCAGCTGGTCCACGAGTCGGAACCTTTCGCCACCTCAAAGGTCAGTTCTAAGAAGCCATGGCCTCTGAAGAGGTATCAAAAGCCAAAACCGAGCCAAAACCTGCGAAAAAAACGACAAAGTTAGGCATTTCCTGGGCATGGGCCCCCTGGTGATGTTGCATGGTGTACAAATGTGTACAGCATCTGCCCAAAACAAAAAACCTTTGCGGCAGCTTGCTAGTTGCTGTCACCTAGGAGTTTGCCTTCAGGAAAGCCCCTTTGGCTGGACTACCAACAGTTTTCAACTTCGGAGATTGGTGTCAATAGAGGGAGCACCTACCAAGTGGATAAACAGAAACACACAATTCAGGACCCGGTAAGAATTGGCATTTCCACTCCATTTTTGAGGTTTCCACTCGCTGGTCCTGGTTTTTAGATGTTTTTAGGGCCTCCGCCTCTTGGGATGCATCCACCATTGACTGAGGGATCTTCTCCTCGTCTAAAATTCATTTTACCCCAACGACGTCAGCTGTTTTCAAAGTCATCTCTCTCCAGCCGATTCAAAGAAGCTGAATGGCAGAGAAACAAAGCAAAATATGGCACATCCACAGAGATCTACTGCTATATGAATATATGCATATAATATGATGTGTATATATATATATGTATAATTATATAATATAACGATTATATATATACAAGATGTATACAAAGATAGATCTACAATTACGCATATGTTCATGCCAACTGCATTCACAGACATCAGCAGTGACACGTGGTTGAGCGAGATCTTATAGACTATCCTATTTATTCCCATCTTCGTCAGCAAATCGACCACATGAACATAGCTTTTTAAGGAGGCTAGAAACTTTCTCTGCTTCTTTGCCGGCCATAGATGTACAACCTCTGTCCATTCATGGGGTCTTTAAAAGGTGCCGTTGCCGGCGGGCCTGGCTGCACCCAACAGGGGTTATGACTGTCATGGCCACCAAGTGTTCATGAGTTGGATCTAGTCATCCACATCAAATGGATATGGGTCAAAAATTCAGCTGCCACAAATGAATTGATAATTCTTAGTATATACCCTCTGGTAAACTAACATAGCTATTGAAAATTGTCATTTATAGTGGATTTACCCATTGAAAATGGTGATTTTCAATAGCTATGTTAAATTACCAGAGGGTAAGGAAACCGTCCTACTTTGCGGAACCCACTTACAAATGGAACATGGTCTTTAAAACATGATCAGCGCAAACCTCGCAGCCTTTTTGTGGACATGGTCTTGACACATGTCTGATCTTGGAGACCCTGCAAAAAACTGATGGCCAAACATAAATTCCAAAAATAGCCACTTCAACAATGGATAAGAAGAATGGTTTGTTCACCTAGGCCATAGTTTCACAAGAATCAGCCTTTTGGAATGGACCAAATACAACAGAAAATATTTTTACAAGCTAAAGTGACTGCCCTGGCTGGAAGGTCGACATATTGCCAGTGCCCGCAGCGGCAACCGCAAATCACATGCATCAGGGAGCGCGCTCCACATCAGTTCGAGCGTCTCCTCGTCACGTGCTGGGATCTATAGCATCTTCATCCCAGGTGGGATGGATGTCTCATATTTGAAACAGCTTGAAACCATGAAACGAGGCATGAATCTCAATATATCTCAATAAATTGCAAATTCACCAGCCAGAAGTTCAACAGCATGTTGAATATCGGAATAGATTCCCTTACTAAGTCTTACTAAGCATCATTCCACTACGTTGCAGTGAGGTTGTCTCCATTGTTGGACTCGAGGGTCACTATCCAAGCTGCCAGCTGGCTCCACTGGGCATGTGGGAAGGTTTTTATGTATCGATAGGATATATCATGATATATCCACATGCATAGGCATAGGTATTAACTTATTAACGCTCATAGTTTCACCCCATTTTGAGTATTGTTCTTTGTCCCCCTTCAAGATCACCAAAGGGGGAAATGTGGTTAATTGCCACGTTTGGTCAATTCTCTACCTTAAATAATCCACCAAGCCTTAGATCCATAGTTTTTTCCTCCCTTTTCTATGGTCAATCCAGAAACGTCGCAAACAGTGCTGGGATGGCCGGAATTTCATCAATGATTATTTCACTACCACCAAAGATCACCTAATATCCATGTCGCTTGGTGAAATCCATGAAATCTAGTGGAAATCCCCCGTTTTTTTCCATTCAATGGATTGGTGGTTTCGGGACATGTTACAGAAAACCACCAATGTTCATGGGAAAACTCCGGACACCTCCCATTTTCACCGGCCCAAACGTCCCCAACAAAACGTCCATTCCGGCTATCGCGCCAAGGTGCACAGCCCACCTACAGAGCCCGGCCAGGGCGCGGCGGGCCTCCGACTCGGTGGGCGCGACCAAGGTTAAGGCCTCCAAAGCCTTGTTGGCCTGAAATGTGCGAAATCGCTGGATATGTTTTTCTGGTTTTATCTGGCAAAATTAGAAAAAGCGATGGAAAAACGGCTCATGTATAGTTGATTTACCGAGAAAAAAAAGTGTTAGTGTTTTTTTTTCCAGTTCGCTGTGTTAGTTTACCAAAGGGTAAGATGTTTTAAGTGGTTAATATATGTTAGTCATTATGTTAGTACCATTTGCTGAGGATGATATATGTACAGATTTTGGGGGATGAGTTTATGATGTATAACCTAATGTCTAATATTCTGGTGATTTTTGGGAATTGAACCTCCGGTTAGAATTTATGATGCAAAGTTGATAGAATCTCGCTGGCCTTGAGGTTATTATTTGCTTAGTCTTCAACTACCCTCTGGTAAACTAACATAAGTATGGAAAATCACCATTTTTAATGGGAAAACTCACTATAAATGGCCATGTTCAATAGCTATTTTAAATTACCAGAGGGTAGTCTTCAACTTTTAATGTGGTGAACTCTGCAATGGTTGATGGTAGACTTCGGGATGGTTTATGGCATTGGGTTTACCACATTAGTATGGAGTATGGATGAATATTGATGGTCTGGTTGGTGGTTTCAACCCCTCTGAAAAATATTAGTCAGTTGATATTATTGTTCCCAATCTATGGAAAAATAAAAAATGTTCCAAACCACCAACCAGTGGTTATATGGTTGTTACTAGTATCTACTTTATGGAATATATAGTCCAAGGTCTAATATTGTGATTGAACTCCCATAATATGCCAGATCTATTCATGGTGAACACACAGCACCTTTTTGGAAATCGAACCTGACAGTAGCAGTGTGGTGATCAAATTGGATAAATGATCGGTTTCCAATACGGAGATACGCTGGGATGATTGAACCATCGGCTTAATTTTGAGGATAGCCATGAATCTAATACTCTTGGTACATAAAGGTTAGTATGTTGAACATATGTATATATATATAGAATATAAATGAATAGATATAGAGATAAATAAATAGTATATATTGAATATTGGTCCAAATCCCTCAACACCATAAATTGTGTGTACGCGGGTCTTCATGATTCATAGTCGCTTAAGCAAATATTGTAATTAGCTCTGCTTTTGGTTAACAGCTGGTTGATGTTCAATTATGGTTCAATTAAAAGAAAGAAAAACAACTATGATCATACGGAAATAAGGAAATTGGGGTTCAAATTGGGCCCCCAACCAAAGCTACAAATCAACCAACATGTTCTGGCTTAATGACATGTTTGGTTGTGAGCCTCAGTGGCGGATGCAACATGATGGAATCGAATTGGTTTGAACCCCTGAGGGAGGGTTGGTGCTTTTGTGGCATCAAGCCGTATTTTGTCCTAAAAATGCTATTGTTCCAACCAGAAACTGAATTGATTTACCCGCAAAAGGAATGGCTTTTCCTCCCAAACAAAATTTGGTGTTAAACGAGGATATACCCAAATAAAAAGGGCTTGCGGTCTTTGTTCCTATCCTGAAATCCTTGAAACAAACATTGTGGTTGTCCAACCAAAATTATAGGGTGTTTTTAGTGTTTTCCACAGCCACATTTGTCAAATGTGATTTGTTTTCCAACAAAAACCTGGGTTTGATGGATTTGTCATTTCCAACAAAGAGATTTAGGTGTTCCAGGAACGGTGTTAAATGTTCTGTGCCTTTTTTTCCATAACAAGGCTGCATTGTGGTCTGTTTCCCAAGGGTTGCCTTTTCTGAACCAGGGATGATGATTTCAGGAGAAAGGAACTCAACAACCGGGCTTCATGGATCAAGTGGTTAGCCCAACATGATACGCAACTTCAAAGGAAGTTTGACGAATCAAACATGGGGAATAGAGAAGTAGTCACTAGTTGTAGAGGTCATGAATGCGACTCGGGTACTGTATGGGTATGAATCAAAATTTGAGACTCACACTGTGCCCAAACACATATGCTCTTGTTTGACAGGATATGTTCACATTCACCCAACCATTTTCACCAGAAAGCATATACTTATATAAAATGTGTAGCTCCCTTGGGGTACTCTTCTGTTCTCAGCAAAAATAGCAAAATATAAATGTCTATCTATCTAATCTAGTCTAATATAATCTAGTCTAATCTATCTAATCTAGTCTAATATAATCTAGTCTAATCTAATCTTATCTTATCTTATCTATCTTTCTATCTAGCTATCTATCTGTCTATCTATCCATCCATCTATATAGATATATGTATCAGTATGCGTGTAATGTGTGTATTCATCCCCTTTCATCCCCTTGAGGCAACGAACCATCTTCTCTGCCAAGGCGTAGGCCTGGGCGCGGATGAATCCCATCTTGGGCAGTTGAAAACATGGGAACATATTAATAGCAACAAAAAGCCATGAATATGGGGAATTATATGGGAGTTTCCATAAATGGGGATACCCAAAAATGGATGGTTTATAAGGGAAAATCCTATTGGGAAACCTCCATGGATTGAGTTTTCTTGTTGGGAAAGTCTGCAGGAAACCATGTTCTTTTCACCATGAAATATATGGGTTTTGGGGGTTGTGTATATCATTATACATTATAACTTTATATTATGATTTGATTATATATCAAGTATGTCATTATATGGTAAATATGGTTGATCAATACTTGATAATTAACCATGGTACTTCCAATTACATATTAAATTAACCATATAATGCACCACATTCATGGATTATGATATGTTAGTAGTGATAGTATAATACAATAACTTTCCAGTTGTCCTGCTGGGGGGAGAATGGTAAGCAATCATAGCGTGTTTTCAACAAAATGTACCACCAACTTACATCAATTTACCAACCCCAAGCGCGGTTCCAGGCCAAATCGACACTGATCCAACACTTCAAAAAATACCCATCCAGAATGGCTCCTTTTGGTCCAGCCAGGAGGAATTATTGAGAATTGAGTTGGAACATCCCAACCCATGCAGCAACCCATGCAGCAACCCATGCAGCTCAGCGTCTCGGTCCACGCCGCCACTCTCATTGATGATCTGCAGGGACCGCTCTAAATCTCCATGGCCCGAGAAGCGTCTTTGGATCAACCTACGAGGCGCCGAAACCAAAGACATGGGGATGGGGACCAACATAAACTTAAACCAACTTTTGAAGCAGAGTTCCATAAGGGTTAAAAAAACATATGTATGTATGTATGTATATATATACTGTATATTACAGTAAGTATGTTGGCAGATATATATATATATATACATAGATATGCCGTGCTAATGCTGATGAAAGTAGGTAAAAGTGTACAGCCCCAAAGAAAAAAAACTTGCAAATCATTGTAGTTTCCCCTTGTCCTAGATGGGAAAAAAACTTCAACCAAAAAAGTACCAGTAAAACACGACCCACAACATTGAAAAAAAGGACACTGTAAACCTCCATAGCATTATAATAGTAACCCAGTAATCCCCCAAAAAAAAGAAACGTCATCTACCACATTGTACCACAATTTTTCAGTTGGTCCGCACAGCCCACCTTGCTAGCTCGCTGCTGTCCACTGAGGCTGCCAAGCCCAACTCCTTTGACTCGCAAAAAATCCCTGGGGATTTCAACCCCCAGAAGTGCGGACGACTGCTACTCATGCGCTGATATATTGCGCATGAGGGGTTCAGAAAGTTAGACTTTCTGAAGGTCTCATCAAAATGAGCATGCAAACCCAACGTTGACACCAAAACAATTAAGAGGGGAAATCCCACCTAGTGAGATGCTGATTGCGACCATGCTGGAAAGCAAGTGCAAGGGACTTTCTTGCACTAATGGGCATATTAGATTCGGCACCAGCAATATTAGTCACTTTGGATCATCATCCCATTTCAGTGGAAAATGACAGTTGAAACATGTTTTTTTTCCACTAACCAGATGGGGATTTACATGATTTACTCCAGAAAAGGGAGACTTCTACCAAACAGCAAGGGTTCCAACAGTCATGATATATAAAAAATATACCCTCTGGTTATTTAACATAGCCATGGAAAATCCCTAAATGGAGGTTTTAATGGGAACGTCATCTAGAAATGGGCCATTTTCCATGGCTATGTTAAATAACCAGAGGGTATATAAATATATAATATAATTATGTATATATATATATATACATAGCCTGGGAAAGGGGGAGCTTGCAGTGTTGTCAATCATCACAAGGTGTCAGGCCGCAAGAATCAACGCTCCTCGCTGCCTTGCAAGCACAGGATGACAGGCGCTGTCAGATTGCCTGGCTGCAGATGGGGAGGTGACGAGAGGATGCTGAATGGTGAACCCAATACCACCGTCCAGGGACGGTGGCATTGCCAACTTTATGGTAACATGGGGCAGTGGTTCATCATTGATTTAATGATTTAACCATCCCCAATATGTCCATGGGATTTTATCCCATCCCCCAAAATCGTAGGAAAAAATGGCAGGTGAATCCCACATCAGAAAAAAAATCACCAAACCCATCCGGAAAATCTGTGGTCCCCTGGAGGCCCTGGATCTTTAATTTTGAACCCTACCTCTGCAAAAAGGCAATCATCTTCCCCAGTTGGGACCAGAAGAAGGAAACTCTGAAACTGCTGGACACCACCGACACCACCTTGCTGGGTTTCTAAAACTTGGAGCCCCCCTTTTCATCATGGCGTTTCCCTTGAAAAGGACCCACAGGACTTTGGTGATACAGTAACCTCCGGTTTCATGACTTTGGAAGCCCCAAGTTCCAGATTTTTCATGGTTGAATCACCCCATGAATCACCATGTTTGATCCTTTTTGTTACGAGATCCTCTATATTTTCGTTCAACCATCCCGTCCCACCTTCAGCGAGGTCTTGGCCGATGGGTTTGCCTAACTCCTCACCTGGATGGAGCCAGCATGGACTCGCAGTAGATGGAAAAAATGCCACAAAGGTATATATATATACACGGTCAGTGATAAATGCCCATTTATATCATGTGATATCCATGTAAAAACTCATGACATTCTTATAGAGTATGTACTGAAGGGCCCATTCGGCCTGTTTATCCAGATACAGTAGAACCAACCAAAGTGCAGATATCCAGCAAGGGACCACCATGGGACACCAAGGAGAGGAACTCCTTGGAGAGATCCAATCTGAAAATGGCCATACCCACTGGAAATCATCACCGTGGCTGGAAAATCCCCGGTAACTCAATGGTGTTTTACTGGGAAAACACAGCGAACTCATTTGGGGTGGTTCCATTGCCCTGTTACGGAAAGGTCATCCATTGGGGGTGCCCCTCTGACAAAAAAATGCTTGGTGGTTGAGCCACACATCCGAAAATCATAGGAAAGTCGATTGGGATCATCATCATCATCATCATCATCCCAGTCATTGGGTTGAACATCAAGTTATTAGTGAAACCAGCACGCAGTCATGATGTGTGTTTTTAATCCCATGTGAATCACCATTATTTTCTTTCCACAATATAGTCATTTATAATCCAATTATCATCCATTTGTAACCATGGATAATTAATGAGGGATTATAATCCATTATAATAAGGGTTATAATTACATGGCATAGTTATAATAATGCCACCGTTGCATGTATTTCCACTGCCAGAAGGGTCACTGAATGCTCTGCCTCGCGTTTTGCGAGCACCGGAGACTGATCAGCCTCACTTGAGAGCTAACGCCAGCATAGCCGCACCCACCCCGTTTAACGGGATGGGTGGGAGGGTAGCTTGAGCGGTGGTGGTTGCGGCGTATTCCAATCACTCCACTTTGCCAAACCTGTCATTGACCTATATGCCACCGTTGCATGTATTTCCACTGCCAGAAGGGTCACTGAATGCTCTGCCTCGCGTTTTGCGAGCACCGGAGACTGATCAGCCTCACTTGAGAGCTAACGCCAGCATAGCCGCACCCAGTTTTGCACCCAAGTTTGCACTCAACGGGTGCCTCCTGGAGTATCCGCTTACAAGTAAATCATGAATCCCTCTGCAATTGCTGCTAAATCAGTGTTGTAAAAAAATTGAGCCAACTTTCTGCACAACACCAAAGGGTATGGTTCAGCGACCTTTGTCATCCACATACCTGACGGATGCTGACCCATCAGTGGGATATGTGGACAGCCAGTATGTGCACAAATGCCCCGCTTTGTACCAACACAAGAATAAGGTCGAAGAAGAGAGAGATCCAAGTGTATACCCAGAAACTTAGTGGGTTTCTTCCAAGCAGTACCAAAAGCACAAAAAGTAATATCAACTGTATCAATGGCACGTCGACGCATGATGTTCTGCACACCAGGACACAACCAGAGACGACTGTTTCGGGGATTCTCCAGTGTAAATGATATATGCAGTTGTAAGGCTAGGAGCAAAACTCGGCATGAAAAACGCATCAACCGGTTCCCCTGGGTAACTTTCAGCTGGTCACCTGGTCTCAAGTCTGGAAGTCCAAGAGGCTGCTGGTCTGACCGAAGTCTTGGCGGTCCCCCAGGGCGATCACGTGCCCGGGAGAAGCTATGACAAGGCGTACCCAAATGACCTGCTCGCACCTCTCCAGACATAATCCAGTGTATGATTTTGTTTTGGTTACTAGAATCCAACAAGTCATACATAGCGCCAAAATTAATATCCCACAAGAGAACCGGCCACCCGCACTTGCGGTGTATTGCTCTGCCCAAGCGACCACATCCACTGAAAATTTCAAGAAAAACTGAAACTTTGAGACTCCGCGTAGGATCTAAAGCTTTCCAGACAAGACTTGCACGACGTCCTTTTTTGCTCGCACGGCCTTGTCTCTTGTTGCTTTGCTGAGACTGCCAAAGAGCTGCGCCAGTCTTGAACCCTTCTCGTAATTCTTGACACTTTTCAACGTCTGCCATCGCCCTCTGCTCTGTATCGATGCCAGTGTGCGCAGCTTCAAGGCTGCCTCGTAGCTTGCACCTCCGTGGCGCAACCTGTATGCGTGAGGCTTTCCCAGCGGCTTGAGGCCCAGAGGCTCCCAGTTGCTTTCCATGAACTGGTTCACGTCCTCCAGGCTGATTGTAAATTTCTTTGTCTGCACCTGCCCTGTTCTTGAGGTCCAGAATTTGTTCTAGAGCTGGTCCCAAGAACTTCATGTGTTTCAGGTCTATACTCAGCATTTCGTCCCACTGTTTCGTCTTGGACGGAATCCCCTCTTCCGAGGGGTGCAGCAGTATTGAGAAGTGCTTGTATGCTTTGCCGGCTCGCTTGACTGGGAACACAATGTCTTGGACCCGCATGGTGAAGGCCTCGCCTGGCCTCAGGTACAACAAAAACATCAGTTGCAGCACCACGCAAATCTCTAGTTTGTGCTCCATGTAGGCCTGCATGCTCAGCAGACACACTACTTCGTAGGGGATTGGCAATCGCGCTCTCTGTGGGCACAATCTTCGCCACCCCCGCATTGACTGTTGTACCAAGGGTAAGGCTGCCCCCTTGGCCCTGGGCAGATGATACACTACTGAAGCCACTGCATAGTTCGCAAAACTGAGATCCTCCCCTTCTAGGTAACAATGCTCCAGATAATTTGCAAGCATCGAGTCCAACACCTCCAGCGAAGTATCTACTGCAATTGCATTGTGACTCCACTTTTGCAACATCTCCCAGTGTCTCTGATATTTCTTTTGAGTCAGGTGTCCTACTGAGTTCTTTCTCAGCACTCCTACTTTTCTTGACTGCGCTGCTTTTCTCAACTGGCTTCGCCTCTGCTTCTTGACTGAGCGCTGCTCTGTCAACTGCTCTACCTGCCAGGTGAGAGGAACTTCCCTGAGGGGCGCCTCCCGAGCCTGTTGTGTCGGAAAACACCTCTGTTGGTTCTGCGGGAAATTGTCTCCCCGCCCCCTCTTTTCTGAGGGCTGCTGCACCAGCTCACTTCCACTCCCAACTGTCGGTGGATCATCAAAACGGCGCTGTGGGTTCGATGGAGCTGTTCCCCCACGGCTCACTGAATCAGCCGGATTCCACTCACTTGGAATCCATCTAGTCCTAGCCACCAACCCTGTTGAAAGTGCCAAAGCCAAAAACTGCTCAAGAACACGCCTTAGTTTGTGTGATTGTGCTCTTCCCTTATCATATGCTACTGCCGCCGTCATGCTATCCGTCAACACCAATAACCGTTGCCCAAAGTTTGTGCTGTTCCTCAAAAAATGCTTGACTGCGTACAAAGAGGCCCTGGCTTCTAAACCAGGCATGCTATCTGCTCGCAACCATTTAAAGCGACCAACAACTTGCCAATGACGATCAACTGCCTCAAAACCCACTGTCTTGTAATGCCGTTCAACGTCGTTTGGGGGTGGACTATCTTCATCAACCACAAAGTTTCGCTCATCCTCAACCAATACATACCTCCTAGGATCTTTTGCATTGGCATCCTTGAACCTCCACCTCTCAAGATGTTGACCCCATTGTTTGCTACAACCACGTTCGACTTCAGACCTAACAACACCCAAGCCCCACTCTGACGCGTCAACTGCATATACTGTATTGCTCCAACCACTACGCATGTTGTTGAATATTAGAGGACACAAACCATCAAACTTCATGAGCTCCTTCCTCACTGTTTTCCAGATAGGCACGCATTCAAGGTAATGCCGTCTGATGAAGGTGTATACCTCACCAAGCACTGCTAAGGCCTCACGACGGCAAAGTGACACAAAAGTCATATGCCCAATCAAACGTTCCAGCTGTTGTCCAGTCATTCGCCCACGGGAGAGCAACTCCCGGATCGCAATCCTGATCCGCCAGATTCGCTTGTAGGTTGGGCGTAGAACCCCTTTCTCCTCTATCGGCCACCCAAGCATGGTGACGGTTGACTCGCTGAACTCTATCTCATGCACTGTCAAACCTGCTTCCCTCAAACCTCGCACCGCATCCCAAAACTTTTTCTCTACTTCTGTTTTGTCAGTTCCCAACACATGCAAGTTATCTACATACTGCAAATGCCAGAAAGAGCCACCAGGAATTGGAAAACCATCTCGCACTCTATGACATGCTGCCAAACCACTCCTCTCGCATATCCTCTCATTCACACTCTGGCACCACCACAATGCCCAGGCCCAACCCATGGGAACCACCAAGGTCCGTGGGTACACCCAGGTGTCAGGTGCGACAGCCTGGCCATTCACCTCAACCACACCAAGGTGCACAGCTCTGACCCGTCTAAAACCAAAAAAACGCCGCCACTCTGCCGGCAGCTCCAGTGTATAAAAGGCGTTTGCAAGATCTGCTGATGCCAAATACAGAGTATCATCTCTGCCCACCTCTAGCTTTCCCAGCGCATCGCCGGTTGCAAGCTCAACGGTGGATGGCTCTGCAAAATGGAGATTCGCCCTGCGGCAGTCCATGATCAGCCTCAGGCGGTTTTGTTTCTTCTTCACAAAAAAACAGCCCTACTTCTTCCTCCTGCGGCTCCAAACAAAACTCAGCAAGACCTAAGGAATGCAGTCGGCTAATGAAGGCTCCATATTCTTTGGGGTCGTTCAGCTTGGGGTCATTGTAAATCCGCACATCACCACTAGCTCTCAGCTTGGCATGGACCTCATCCGGACCAAGCATTTGTGATGATGAAAATTCCTTCACCACTTGTTGCCCGCCTTCACCCCAAAGTTTTTCCAGAGCGACCGGTCGTATCTCTCCAGAAGGCAATGAGACGGATGCGGGATCAAAGGAACCGAGTGGGCACGAAGCTGGCGTCTCTCCGTACCCAACACTCACCCGAAGCTCCTCTAGGGCCTCTGGGCCAGAAAGTTGAGGTGGGCTTCCCAAAGCCGCAACTGACTGCTCAATGAATTCCAGGACTTTTTGCTGACCACTACTGATATCACCTTTCGGAGACATAGGGCCGCCCGTCCCACCATGCATCATGTTCAAAACATTGACTGTACTCTGCACCTCCTCCTGTAGATGCCGCCTTCTGCCAATCCGCTGTCGAACTTTCCTCGACAACTTACCAGCTTCCAGAGATTCAACATGCACGGAGGGCAGTGGGAAAAGTTCCCTATTGACCTGCCTTCCACCTTGTGGCCCATGAGGTTCCACGGCCAGCCTTGGGCCTAGGCTGGGCCGCACCTGGACCCTCAGGGGTCCTCCTGCTTGCCCTTCGTCTTTTGGTTTTGGCCTTTTCGCAAGGCCTCCCGCTCCTCTCTGGCCTTCCGCAGACTTTTTGCAAGAGTCGCCTCTCTCTCAGTTTCAGTCCGGACATAGTCCAGCAATTCTGGACAAATCATCAACGTACTGTATTGCCGAGTCATGCCACCGAAGGTTGTCTGCTCCTCCAATGTCAGTCTGCCTCCAACCGCCTTTGACTCTTGTTCACGCGCCTTCTCGGCATAGCTGCATTCAATGGTCTGCAACCTCCTGAACTGCACTTCAACGCTCAAGAGGTTGCACCCATTGAGCTGATCAACCAACAAGGCCTGCCTCAAAGACATTGAAATCTGAAAATGCTCTTGTATGCCCCAGGATGAAGAATCTGCACGTGTCACCTGCCGCAGTCTCTCGTGGTGACCCTCAAAACCCAATCCCTCAATGGCCAAATAGCTGATGCACCACTTGGACGTCCGAGGACCAGTGAGGGTCCACTTCACCGCTGTTTCAGACAAGGCCGAAGCGGCATCCTTCAGCGTCCTCTCAGGCTGACCCAAAGCATTCATCTCTACGGCCAAGATGCGATGATCACACTTGGCGGGGCGTGACATGAAAACAGTGAAAACTGCTCCATCAACACACTCAACAAAAATAGGGATCCCATTCTCCACATGCACTGCTTTGGCACCACGAGCACTAGCCGCCGTAACCCCAACAACGGGGTCTCCATACCTGTAACCCGCAGCCGTCTCAGCCGCCATCCATTTCAAGACACCGCAGGCATGGGGTGCCGCACCAGCAGGCACAAGGGGCCCAGCGACCGCAGGAAGGGCTGCCACCCCAACTGCTGCCACAGGAACAGCTTGTGCCGCAGGTGCTCCCGCTGCCTGGCGCTCTTGGAGAGCGACCTGCCTTGCTTCATCTCGAATGGCCTGCACCTCTCCGACATTCCACATGGGCAGCGCATAAATCTCTGCTGCATTCACCTCCGGAGGCACCACCCCAGGAGCGGGTCGCACTCGGATCCCACGCAAATCACTGTTCAGCAAACCCAAGTCTTCACTATATATATCTCTGTCAGGTGTCACAACTATGTATGAATCTCCACCTACATGTTCAAGGGCCCACCTCTCATGCCACAACCTCGGACCTCCTACATCATACTCGACCAGAATGTAGCGATTCACCAATGCCATGTCTCCTCAATCGCAGCTCAGCAAGCTGTCTCTGAGCTAGCTGCCTAGGGCTCGGAGCGCCCTCAGCTGTCTCCTGTTTCTTAGATGTCCGGGACTGCAAAATCTTCACTGCCACTACCACAGCTAGCAAAAACACTAACAATAGTAGAGCAATTGACAGCAACCCCTGTTCTCGAAAGCCAGCCTCAGGCTTGGGGCCAACTGCCGGAAAGATAGGTGGTCCCTCAAACCGATGCGTTGTCTTGGCGCTCTCACCACCAGGACTTGGATCAGGATTCACTTGTACCTCCCTATGGTCCGCAGATTTCACCGCCAAATCTAGAAGCCTATCCTCCAAAAACTCTGTTGCTGATGCTGTAGAACCACAATCCCGGTCAAAGCAATGTGTCCCAAACCAAGTAGATACAATGGCGATATATTCAAGGGGAAACGGCCCATGGGGATTATAGCTTGAGCGGTGGTGGTTGCGGCGTATTCCAATCACTCCACTTTGCCAAACCTGTCATTGACCTATATGGTTACAATAACCCAATATTTACAATCCATTATAGTACTATCCCATTTTCATCCATAGTATCCACTTATCATATAGATGTACTATTATAATCCACTAAGACTATAACGATCATCCATTTATTAATGGCTACTATCCCAGGTTTTTTCTCACCCGAAATCGGTTATCACGTGACCGCCGGTGAAGTCCAAGACATCGTCGGCAATCTGAAAGGCTAAGCCCAAGTAGAAGCCATACGTGTAGAGGACGTCCTGGGCGTCGAGTTCAGCGCATTTTACCCATTGGAAAACATGGGTTTTCCAATGGAAAACCCATGGCCTGACTCACCCGTTTGAAACTTGATGTCAAAGTGGAAAGCTTTGATTTCGCAGAAATCAAAGAACAAGGATGGCTTCCTCACTAAAGTGACAGAGGACCTCCAGTGAAGTGCATTGGTCAGCAACGTATCGCCAGATATAGGGATGATTTCCCCAAAAAAACATCAAACAAGGTGAGGGGAATGTGTCATGGTCCAAAAATGAAGCAAAAAAAAAACATTTTTATGGATGAACATGGCAATTTTACTACAAATAAATGAATATGTCCCGGAACTGTGAGATTTCCGGGTAGCATAGTAGCCTAATTTCACACATCACAGCTCTTCGTCCATTTTGATCACGTCCAAGTGTCGCAGACTTCACAGCGGAGGCCCGTCAGAACGGCTGAAGCTCTGCACGCGGCAGCCAACAAGGAGGCAGTTTTGTAAAAACTCTTCTTCAGGTAGTTGAAGAGCGACACCTTGGGATCCATTTAGGAAATCTAGGATCGATTGGACCTTGGAATTGTAGATGGATTTTCCTGGGAAAACATATGGATGATTGCTTTTTTTTAATGTAATGATGATGAGGAACAGATCCTGTAGAGATGGATTCAGGGAAATTGCTGTAAAGTGACATATAGCTGGATGTGTTTAACCCCATAGGTCGACAGGGATACCTCATTGGCTCTGGATGGTCTAGCTGGATCTTCTGTGGATGGCTTTTCAAGGAAAAAAATGGGTTTTTTATGGTTTTTTTAATGGGTTTTTTATGTTTATATTCTTCTTGGTATCATAGGTAGTAGAACCCATAGAGACAGTAGTAAGTTACCCGATCGCCCCTGGTGAATTAACATCCAAATATCTTATTCCCGTTCTGGTTTCATAGGCAGTCGAAGAGGAACATCTCACTGAGCCTATCAATTTGTCCAGCAGAGTTTTCCAAACTAGTCCCATGTGACAGTTGCCATATTTCAAACTGCTCAGTTGTATTAAGACACGGGAAGATAGAAGAACATGGACAGGCAAACCTTCATCCCATGCCCCCAATATGAAACATTCCCCATCACTGGGCCCCAAAAATGAATAGCCTCAACACGTTTCACCAGAGGTTTTAGGGTGGTATTTGGGTTTGTCTGAGAATGGGGTGCACCCCAAATTGGCATCTTGTATAATGGGGAAAATGATGGTTAACTACAGGATTTTGGGATTCCCATAATTTTCAGACAAAGCTATATCTCTATAGTTATACAATATATAACTATATGGTTTATGGTAGATATATCTATATACATATATGGATATATATATATATATGTATATATGGTATATAGTATTCATGGGTTTTAACATAAACCATGAATATAAACATAATCTATCATAATCTTATATATATCATAGTGCCATAGATCTATCAACCAGGACCTGGGGGATGACAACGACAATGACTTGCAGCAAGGCACAGAGGCGTCAAAGCGCTTGGCGCTTTGTGAGAGCTCTCCTGGGGATGTCAGCTTCGCCGAACGCTCCGAACGTTGCTACGAGTACTGGTGATTCATCGTGTATAGAATAGTGAATAGACATGGATAGAAAATGTTGAAAATACACGTTTAATTAATATTAATTAATATTAATTATATATCCATCAAAAATAGGCGGACTAGCCAGCTTCATTTACGACTCAACATTTGGCCCGGTCTAGCACAGCACTGCTTCGTCGAGTCACCATAGCCGAACTCTTCAATGACCAAGGAAACCTCGTGGCAGCATGTGCGACCCATAAACATCTTGACCGTGCCAAATGGCCTCAAAAACTGATTGGAGTGGGTCAGAAACGCATCTTTCATGTAGAGCGCAGGCTGAGACCAGAAAACCCAGCATCTAAGCAGGTCAAAACTATGATTTCCTGTGTGTTTTTTTCAGGAAAACATGAACAGGCTGACTACAATGCTAGGCAAGTAACACCATGTTCCAAAACTGATTAAAAAAAAACAGCACTGGTTGTTTCACCATGTTTGGATAATGGATGTCCTGTGAATGTCTTTGTGGCCACGGTTCCACCCTTTAGGGAAAACTCATGTCCAGTTCTACCCGGTTTTCCAGTTCCATGCCTCCAACACCTCATCGTCTTCACGTCAGAAAAGTGCCATATATCATGTACATATATGATACATATATACATATATGTATATATATAACAGGGCCTAAATTATCCACCTCCATCTGATTTATCATCTTAGATCCAGATGGTTTCCTCATTCAATCCCAGTTTTTTGATGGCTAAAATATCCTAGAATCTCCATGTGTCGATAGTTCAATCCATTTCCATCCCCAACCGGCTCCGTCTCCCCACAAGACAAACCATGACCATCAGCCATGGATTCCATGGATCAATTCCCGGCAAAAACAACAACCCAGAAAGACGGAAAGTTAGTATAAGTCCAACAGATATTGGCAAATTAGACCATATTGATACCCCCAAAAAATGACCTGGGGGGGTTGGGTGTCCTGATAATGGAGTGGATTTTTTTGGGGGTATCCATATTGGATCGTTTCTATCCCTTTGGGACTTCCTACACAAGTTGGCGGCCAAACGATAGCTACCCTCTGGTAAACATACAAAAAACGATGGAAAATCACAATTTCTAATGGGAAAACTCACTATAAATGGCCATGTTCCATAGCTATGTTAGTTTACCGGAGGCTAACTTCATTTAGTGAAAACCAGGTGAATTCTATGGTCTATGATATCTCAAACTAGATCATGTGGTGAATCTAAACCAACCGCAGGGACAACAGCATCTTTCCATATCCATATTCCATGGATGTCTAGTAGTACAATATCTTTGATGAAAATCCCATGAAATCATCGGTTTTCGATGATTTAAAATCCCATTATATTATATCCCATTATCTACCCTCTGGTAATTTAACATAGCTATTGAAAATTGCTATTTATAGTGAGTTTTCCCATTAAAAATGGTGATTTTCCATAGTTATGTATGTTTACCAGAGGGTAGTAAATCTAGTAGTACAGTATATCCCATTATCCCATTAGTGTCATTAGTTTCATTGGTTGAAATCCCATGAAATCCCATCCAGGGCGGGAACTTCGCCTTTCATCCGAGCCGCCAATCGTGTGACATCATCATCCTCGAGGGATTCGATGAGCCCAGAGGCCTCAGACATGGATCCGGCCGGGTTCACCTTGGAATGGGGGGTGATACTTGCTGCTTGGTGGTTTCAACCCATGTTGAACAATATGAGTTCGTCAATTATGGAAATAATAGTTGCAGATGTGCCAAACCCTCACTTATACATGTGGCATACATAGCATTTCAATTCAACTGAACTGTCAGCTGTTCCAATTCAGCTGCCCTTTTTCAACCTCAAGCATCGCTGATTTGTCCGCGAAAAGACGAGGCGCGTTGAGGTGTGGCTGGGAAATAGAAGATACCAGGGGGCCATAAACCTGTCCAGTTCAACAGGTTATGAGCCCAAGGTGAGCTGCGTCTGATGGATAGACGAAGAAAAGCCACCTTGGGTGAGTTGGAGGAAGGCGAAAGACAAATGAAGCAGGCTCAGAAAAGAATGGAGAAAGAAGCAGAGGAAAGAGGTGAAAAGGCGTTGGAGGATCAAACTGAAATGGAAAGGGACGAAACCAGAGGCAGTGAGGTAGTTTTAGCTAGCCAAGCTGTTGTCGCCAAGGAAAGTTCCAAAGGTACTCCGAAGGCTGAGGTTCAACAATCCCCCACAGATTCAGTAGTGAAGCGACCACAGTTGCTTCCTCCTTCGACACCACCACCTGTGCCGCCTGAGAGTTTTGCTTCACCAGCTAAGGTCACTCCACTCACCAAGGTGACTCCAGAATTCGAACAGGTCGCAAACGGACCTGAAACCACTAAGGCCGCAAACAGTGTTTCAGGAAATAGGACTGGGGAATCAGAGAGAGGATCTGCTTCCAACCGGTCTCCACCAAGGAACACTGAGGCCTCTCCTGACGTTGCACCGCTGTTCACTCAGGAACAGCTCAATCAGATCCGACAGATTCAGGATCAAGCTCCTTGGCTGTATGCGCCGAGTCAATCCATGTTCACTCATGCAAACACCTTCACCACTCCAGCACGTCCACTCTTTCTGAATCAAGAGGAGCTGAACAGAGGGGGAGCCGTCATGTCACAGAGAGATCCCCAACTGGAGTATTATCAAGAGAGATTCATGCATGATCAAGTTGAAAAGGAGGAGATTAGGAAGACTTTGCGAATGTTGGTAGAGGAGAACAGGCAGTTGAAGAATAGACTAGAAGGTTTAGAGACCAGAAGTCGAGAAGAAGAAGATCAGAAATTTTCCACTCCAGAGGAAGAGTGGAAGTCGTCGCAAAGAATGAAGCAGGTTGCCAGTGACTTGGAGGAGGCTGCCAAGAAGAAGGAGGCTGCTGAGACCCCCAAGGAGACACACAAACCCCAAGCAAGAACAAAGGAGGCCGCAGAAACCCCAGAGGAGGCTGCAGACCCCCCAAAGCAAGCAGAGGACACCCCAAGAGGAGAGGCAAATGAGGCAGGACAGCAGCACTCAGAAAAGCCGAAGGGGCGAGAGGGCACATCAAGCCGAGAAGAGTCTTTCACAGAAAAGACCATGCAGTTTATGATGACGATGATGGAGACCATGAAAGAGATGCAACGGAAAGTCAATGATGGCAAAGAGGAGACAGGGATGATCAGGGGCGTGGAGGTGGTTCGCAGTGGAGTTCAAGACCTTCCTGCATTGCCTCCATGGACTCCCAATCTCGGACCCCTCCAACTAGGAGACTGGATGCTCCTGGTTCAGCCGGTGATAGCGGATCTTTCCCTGTCATCTGAGGAATGGTGGTCAAAGATGACCAATCAATCAGAGTCGTGGTATCAGCATCATCTTTCACTGGGACCACTGGATCGACTTCAACACCTACCAGATCCACCGAAGATGCTGCAGGAAGAGAGATGGCAAAGATTGGAGCGCAGAGTGTCAACAATGATACTCCAGGCATTGCCAGAAGCAGTGCGAGAGGAGCTGGTCTCAGCAAGGCGATTGTCGGTGTTTGGTATACTGACACATCTCCTACTGACATATTGTCCAGGAGGAGTACAAGAAAAACAGACTCTCCTCCGCAATCTTGAAGACCCTAGCGAAATACAGAGCATGGCAGAAGCACCAGCAGCATTGCGGAGGTGGATGAGGTGGAGGAAACGCACACAAGAAATCGGAGCAGTCTCTCCGGACCCAACAATCTTGCTGAAAGGATTGAACAAGATGACGAAGAAGCTACTTGAAGGACATAGAGAACTACAATTTCGCATCTCCTTGATCAGGTCAAGCCTTCTGGTCGACACGGCCCCCTCAGAGGTGAACATAGGCCAATTGGCCACCCACATCCTCTCTGAGGTTGATCAACTGGCACACATCGACAAGAAGGGAGCACAAGCAGGCCAAAAAGGAGATCAGGCAAAGATCAAGACAATGGAAGTAGATGAAGGAGACAAAGGAAAAGGAAAGGGCAAGGAGGCCCAAGAAGAAGCAAAAGGAAAGGCTCGATGTAAGTTTTATTTGAGCGAAGCCGGATGTAGAAGAGGCAAGGAGTGCAGCTGGCCACATGAAGGTAGTGATGGGAAGCGCCGATGCTACATCTGTGGCTCCACAGAGCACCTCGCCCCAAGCTGCACCCGACCTCGAGTTCCCAACGATGGAAGCCCAAGAAAGCAGAAGAGTGCCAAAGCCGAGGGGGAGGAGCCAAGTCCCCAATTGAAGGAAGAATCTCCAAGCAAGCGATCTCCAGCAGAGCAGTCAATACGGGATCGCAAGGGATCTCCAGCAGAGCAGTCAATGCGGGATCGCAATGGATCTCCAGCAGAGCAGTCAATGCGGGATCTCTTGGAGGAAGCCAACAAGATGCTAAAGTCTCTCACCACGACGTCAAGTGCTTCTTCGGAAGCGTCAAAGGAAGAGGATACAAAAGAGGAGATCATGCAAAGGCTACAGCAGCAGCTCAATGCCATCAAGCTCAAGAAGTTCCAGTTGAAGAGGATGTCAAGAGGATGGAAGATGGGCCTCATTGACTCTGGGGCCACACATCCCCTCAGGCCTCCTCGACCAAACGAAGACGTGGGGAGCTACCGCAAGGTGACAGTTTCCTTAGCGGACGGAACAGAAGCAAAGCTCCCAATGACATCATCCGGTGTCATGATTGGCTTGGATGATGATGTGGAGCCTATCGTCCCTATGGGACTCCTCACAGGAAAGCTAGGATGTGAGATCACATGGCGGGGCACCGAGGTTCAATTGAGTCACCCCAAGAAGGGCAACATCAAGGTTCACCACATCAACGGATGTCCCCAGATTTCCAGAAGGGATGCCTTAGACCTGATCCAAGAGCTCGAAGAAAAAGGAGCTGAGATCGGATCAACGGCCGCTGACTTCCAAGAAGAATGGAGGTGGATGCTGAAGCTCATCGACCAGCATCCGATCTTCTCTGGGCTACCCCAATGGCTGAAGCAGGAGTTGCCAGTGGAGCCAGGAGAATGGTCAGACCTCCCTACAAACAGGAGACAAAGGAAGAAGATGAAGAGAGATGGGTTCATTGCCCACATCTATGCAGGCCCAAAAGAAGGGTTTACACTCCAACAAGCCTGGAAGCAAATTGGAGGAAGAGAGGATGCCCTGCTTGAGATTGACATCTGTCGTGGGGCGGGTCACGACATGTTGAGGAGTCGTGGTCCATATAGTGGCCTGATAAGAGCAGCCCTGGAGGGTAAGTTGAACGCCATCGTGTCCGCACCCAATTGCAGAACCAGAAGCATTCTGCGACACATCCCAATCCCTGGAGATGCATCAGCACCAAGGCCAATAAGACGTTGGGGAGGAGAGGAATATGGCATCAAGGACATCACTGAAGCAGAGAAGAAGATGCTCCAGGCTGACGACATCTTGATGTGGAGGGTGATTTTCCTCTACGTCGTTGCCTCCTCAATGGCAAAGGCAAGAAGATTGCCGGAGGTGTTGTTCACAATGGAACAGCCAGCATCTCCAAGGGCATACAACTCTGATGTGGTGAGTTGGTGGGATACGAAGGAATGGAAAAAGGTGAAGGAAGCCTTCAGATTTCAAGAAGAAACCCTGGAACAAGGCAGAATGGGAGGACCCACCACAAAGCCAACAACGTTTGGAGGCTCTCTGAAGTTGTCCAGTGAAGATTTTATGGAGAGGAGAAAGGGAGGAATGGTGAAGATCCAAAACTCCAAAGAACTCTCTCGCTGGGCACCCGGAGTCATGAACATGGTGGCGAGTGCCCTGATGACCCAAGTCCACAAGACGGACATCAAGATGAAGGAGGTTACATGGGCTGAACACATTGCCTTCAACCATGTCCCATTTAGAAGGGACTGTAGGGTCTGCCAGGAGTCAGCCCAACAGTGCAGCCCACACAAGAAGGTGAAATACCCACAGGCAGGTGTGCTCTCGTTGGACACGGCGGGTCCAATGATTTCAGCATACGATCAAGGAGGATACCAGGCAAGATACTTCTTGGTTGGCGTGTTGACCTGGCGAGTTCCCAGGGGCACCACCAAGTTGGATCAGCCGGAAGATGAAGCTATGGCAGGAGATGAGCCAAAGATCGAAGATAAAGAAGACCAGGAAGCACCAGCCTTAGAAGATCAGGAAGAAGGAGATAGACCAAAAAAAAAAGATGAGGTTCCTGTGCCCCCCGGTGAGGACGGATCGGACCAAAGGGGTCTGGCCCAGCTCCCGGAGGAAGCTGAGGATGGCGCACGGAACCTCATAGAAGAGACAGAGATGAAGACATTTCGGCTGGCACTTCCAATGGTCACCAAAACATCAAGAGAGGTGACAGCCACAACGATGGAAATGTGGCTAAAGCTTAAGGCTGATGGGTATCATGTGGGCCACATACACAGTGACAGGGGCCACGAGTTTCAAGGCCATTTCAAGCAGTGGGCCAGGGTCAGAGGCATCCATCTCACAAGAACATCTGGGGATGATCCAAGAGGAAATGGTAGGGCGGAAGTCTGTGTGAAGGCCATTAAAGATCAGGTCAGAAGGACCCTACGACAAGCAGGTCGAGACTCCTCTATGTGGCCATGGGCACTCCGGTATGTGAATGAGATCAACCGATGTGTCCGACTTGGCGTTAAGCCATGGTGGCCCAGGTTCCTACAAGAGGTCAGGGTCAGGAAAAGAACATGGAGAAAGAAAGATTTTGAAGTGGGCTGGGAAAAGGTCTTATACCTTCTTCCATCAGCGGAAGACCATGGTCACTGGGTGATGAAGGAAGGTGAAGTGCCACGAGTCACCAAGTGCATCATGAGGCCAACTTTGGAGCCTGAGGACGAACAGACCTGGATCGCCCTCGAGAATGATGCGGAGGATGCATGGACAGTGCGAAGAAGGCTGAGAGAGAAGTCAGCCGTGAGAAGAATGGATGTCAGCATGCGGCCCCAACCGGATGAAGAGGAAGAAGAGGAGAAGCACAAGCAGCAAAAAGAAAGGATCCAGCAGATCCTAAAAGAAGAAGCACAGCACCTTATTGAAGACGATCCAGAGATCGCAAACGATGAGATCAAGATCATCCACAAGCTCAAGAAGATGATGCAGAATCCCTCAGGCCAAGAAGAGGTTCTGCAAACGAAGATCATTTCCCCAAAGGAAGTGGCAAGAGATTGGGAGAAATGGTTAGAAGCTGTGGATGCTGAGGTCAACTCACTGACGCGAGAGAAGGAAGCACTGAAGAAGCTGACCCCAGAAGAACATCAAGAGATCAAAAGAAAGGCAGAAGAGGAAGGTCGAAAAATAGAATACCTTCCCACCAAGGTTGTCTTCACCGTGAAGCCCATCCCTGGAGCATTCAAACGCAAAGTGAGGTGGGTCGTGTGTGGAAACCTGGAACCAAAGAAGGAAGGTGAACAGACATACAGTGGAGGAGCAGACGCCACAGCACTCAGAGTGCTCATTTGGGCATCTGCGAAATACGGATGGAAGGGATGCGTCTTGGACATCAAAACAGCGTTTTTGAACGCCTGTATGGAACAAGATCCAGAAGAAGACGTTTTGCTTCTTCGTCCACCCTCCATCTTCATCGAAAAAGGTTATCTAGATCGAGGCCAAGTGTACCAACCACTGAAGGCAGTTTATGGCTTCAGAAGATCACCCCGTCTTTGGGGTAACCACCGAGATGAGAAGATGCGAGGATTCAGAATCAAAGTCAAGGGAGAAAAGGCCAAAATGTTGAAGCTGCTTCAACTTGGCTCAGAACCGAATTTGTGGAAGATAGTAGAAGATAGAGGAAAAGAAGATGAGGAAGAAGAACACTGGCTCACCAATGGCACAGTGTTGGGACTGGTGATGACCTATGTCGATGATATATTCATTGCCGCAAAAGAACCAGTCGTGACGGCAGTGAAAGAAAAGATACAAGAAACATGGGCGACTTCCGTCCCAGAGGAGGTCACAGAGGAGCCAGTGAGATTCTTAGGCATGGACATCTTGAAAGTTCTGGATGAGGGAAAGGAAGCATGGATGATCACGCAAGAATCATACGTGAAAGATCTGATTGGGAAGCAAGACACTGAAGAAAAAGAAAAGAAAATCCCAATCACAAAGGATCAAGCTTTGATGGAGCCAGACAAGGAGACCCCATCTTTGGAAAAGATCCGCCAGTGTCAGAAAGAAGTAGGTGAGATTTTATGGCTGGTCACCAGATCTCGACCAGACTTGATGTTTTCCACGAGTCGCATGGGCTCACATGTCACGAGAGGGACTGCCAGTGTTTTGGAAACCGCAGCGCAGATCAGAGGATATCTCAGGAAAACAGCAGCCCAGGGGCTGATGTATAAAGAAGATCCTGAGGAAGATGTATGCGTTAAAGTTTTCACAGATGCGTCATTCTCACCAGAGGGTGAGGAAAGCCATGGATGCTTCTTGGTTTTCATAAACCGATGCCTGATTTTCTGGCGATCAGGGAGGCAGCCAACAATCACCCTCTCAACTGCAGAATCAGAGTTGAACGAATTGATAGAAGGAATGACAGGTGGAGAGGCAGTGGCAGTTATTTTGTATGAGCTCTGCGAGGGCGTCAAACGCCAGGCGTGGACAGACAGTCAGTCTGCAGCTTCAATCATGGTGAACGAAGGTGGGAGCTGGCGCACCCGGCACTTGAAGATGCGCGCCGGATATGCCCGCCAACAAGTGATGCAAGGCGAGTGGATGATTGGCCACATAGCAGGCCAAGACATGACAGCGGACGTTGGCACGAAGCCGTTGCCGTCCACCAGACTGGAGCATCTGAAAGATCTGATGCGGATGAGAACGAGACCAGAGAACAAAGATGTAGACACACGGGAGGATATGAAACAAAGCGAAGAGAGAAAAGAAAAGAATGCGTCAATGCAGGTCGCGCAAACTGCATTGGCGATGAGACTCATTACCCTGGCTGCAAGTCTGCAAGCAGCACGGGGTCAAGAAGAAGAAGAAGAAGAAGAAGGCGCAGGAGAACTCTACATGATGATGTGGATCTACACTCTGATCGTGGTTGTGCTCACGATCTTGGCGCAGTGGATGTGGAAGGTAGGAGTAAGGCAGATAGAGGCTCAACCTCAAGGGTTAAGCCAAGAACCGTCCCGAAGTCTCCCTGCATCGACTGCATCAGATCAAGAGGAAAGCCAAGATGAGGAGGAAGAGATCAGGAGCTTGCAACAAAGAGTGAAGAGTGAAGTTCAGAAAAAGAAGGAAGAAAAGGCCAGTGGAAGTCGGTCCGAAAACCCGGGTGAGAAGGGGTTGGAACACCGTGGTGTTCCAGTCCGCCTCCCTGGAAGGCTAGGTGAGGAGGGGTTGGGTCAACGTACAGACCCAGTCCGGCTCCCTAGCACCCTCCGAGGTGAAGCCAGTTCTGGTGGAGGAGACCGAACTGAGCTCCCTCGTGAAGCCAGCCTCCGAGGGGAAGAACGTGAAGTAAACCCTCGTGAAGGCGGCATCCGAGGAGCTAGGGGCACTGGTGGAGGAGACCGTGCGCCCAACCCTCGTGAGGGAGAAAGCCCGTCCGAACAAGGACGAGGGTTGGACCAAAGGGGGCAACATTCTTCATCTTCAAGTGCCCAATCCACTGAGCCACCAAGACAAGGACCAACAACGGAGCAGATTCTTTCTGCCCTAGAAAGTATCAAAAGAGATGAAGACCAGTTGTGGTCACAAATCCAAAGAGGAGCTATGCTGCCAGCAGAAATGAAACACAAGAAGGACGTGATTTTCAGTTGGGATTTCAAGTCCTGAGGTCACCATGTGGAACCGTCTACCACTTGAGAAGGCATTGTCGTCATCTGCGAGGACCACAGGTTGGCCGTTTGAACGAATATGAATGGTGTGACATCTGCAAAGGTGTCTTGAGAAGAACGCGGGGCAGACCGCCCCCTGGATGCCCATTGTATCTCCCAGACCACGGAAACCAGCTCCACACAGATCAAAGATGTCCGAGATTTGCTGCATCACGACTTGTGCGATCTTGTTTGAACTGCTGTGAAGCTGAAGGGGTAGCTTGAGTGAGAGAGGCCAATTTAAAATTTTCCTGTTTGCGGAAGCCTAACGGGCCCGCAAAGCGGGAGTGCAGATGTGCCAAACCCTCACTTATACATGTGGCATACATAGCATTTCAATTCAACTGAACTGTCAGCTGTTCCAATTCAGCTGCCCTTTTTCAACCTCAAGCATCGCTGATTTGTCCGCGAAAAGACGAGGCGCGTTGAGGTGTGGCTGGGAAATAGAAGATACCAGGGGGCCATAAACCCGTCCAGTTCAACAATAATATTCCATATATTATGGAAAATAAAAAAAATATTATGGAAAATATTCCATATATTCCATATTTTATCCCATATATTATGGAAAATAAAAAATGTTCCAAACCACCAACCAGCAATATGATGTGACCATGAAATGGCGTGACTGGCAGGGTATCCCGTGGTGCTGAGCAGTACAGAACCCATGGACTTTCCTACAGATGTTCCCTTCATCCAATTCTTGGATGCCTTCACGATGTTGGGAAGTTACTGCTGATACATCTAAGAGAGATGTTCGTTTTCAGTAAACTCAGTAAACCTTGAATTTGTCAGACTAGACATTTGATTTGGCACACACCCACAGTGCGCGAGCAAATGCAGGTTTATTTATATAGTTAAAACAGCATCCACTGTTTTGACCTGCACCCTGCTCCACCCCAAAGATCCCAAAGCTAGCCAAACTTGCCCAGATTTGCCCCTTGCCCTTGCTGTTCTACTTTGGATTTCCCCAGATTTTCCCCAGATCTTCGCAGCCTTTTTTTCAGCGCCAAGTCACATGGGCAAAGAGAAAGTCGCCACTCAACACCGCCACATCAGGACCGAAGATCCGGTGCATGGTCTGCTGCTGGCGTCGCTGATCCGCATCATCCAAAATGTCATCCTGGGCGAAGTCCCCATTTTTTTGGCTTGTACCCGGCCTGGTTATGACATTCACAGTTCGCCATGGGTTTTTCGATGGCCCATAGAAATAGATGGTTTACCGAACTTCATAGCATGGTGATTTACATATCAATTATGACTAACAGTTCGCCATGGAAAGATCCACCATGCTATTAAGAGGTAAACCATCTATTTCTATGGGCCATTTCCCATGGCTATGTTAAATAACCAGAGGGTAACTCATTAGTAAAGAAAGCGGCTGTTGGTGAGGAGAGAACCCCAAATCCTACAAAAAATGCTTGAACACACTGTATGTTACTGTGTTTTGCGCATGTCATCGTGCTAGACCCACAATATAATGCATATTTAAAATAGAAACAACATTCGAAGTATACATCATTCCTAAATATGTCTAAGAAATAGCGCATGTTTCAACTGACACATGAGACAACTGCTTCTTTCAAAGAAGTGCATATGGGATAATCCACGAATCGGGGACTTACTAACCGTTGGGTTATGAACCAATTGCAAAGTAAGATGATCCTCCAAGGAAGTGGAAGTTGACTTCCCCTGGTCTGGAGAATGTTCACCCCAAGTTGAAGCTATGAGGTGTTCACCATCCCTCGGGCAACACAAAAAGATACAAAAAGAAGGGTCAATGACAATGACCTTTACCCTCCAGTGTATCAACCCTGGCTTGCTTTAAAATGCCTCAGTGATGATTTTCCCAGCTATAAAGGCTATAAATGACTCTCAACTTCCATGGCGACTTCGGGGATTTCCCATGATGACACCGTGGCGAAAAGTGTTCGCCCCAGCGTCGTGCACCAAGGATGCGGTGTGAATGATCTCAATGGAAGTGGCCAGGACGATCACCTCGCAGGTGCCAATGGATTCAATGGATGTCCGGATTGGGAATCCCCTGATGAATCCCGTGGGAACATGCTGTTTCTGGAGTGAAAATCTCTGGTAAACAAACATGGAAAGTGAAAATCTCAAGTCCCCACAAGTCCTCCCGTGAACGATACTGCAAATTGCCATTTTCACTTGCCAGTTTTCGATTATAAGAGGATAACTATGAATGAAAATATAACTACTATTTGGATTAGGTCAGAAGGGATACAATTACGAGGAGATACAATGATCTACCAATCATAGGTGGTAGAGCTATACCCATGACTACACTCGCCATTGATATATATATATATATAAACAGATGAGATCACAGGGGATACAGTCACCTTCCAAGCAGAAATGTCAGGTACAAATAGCTAAAAATATTTTAAACCTATGCATCAATGGCGCTTCATGATCGTCCATTCCCGCTATGAGGGAGGGTGGTCCTGTCTTTGTACGATTTGGGGAATCTCAATCACCAAGATGTTCGTGAAGATTTTGTGAAAACCCCTTTATTTATGCATGCTGCAAACATAAATGAACGGATATACCCTGCGGTAGTCAAACGTGGCTAGCTGGGAAATCCCTGATCAAAATGGAGGTTTATGCAAGCCACGTTTAATTACAGGTGGGTTGATGGGGGAGGTTTCAATGTCAATGACGGCAAGTAGAGTAAAACGGCTGCACATGCATCTCTTGCATGGATGAATACAGAATAAAAACAACATGTTTTTCTGCATTCCCAAAATCTATCGTGGAACTCCACAATGGTCCTTTCGAGAAGGCGTATTGCCGAAGCTCCCCATGACAGGCCACTTTTTCGTAAGCAGCATCAGCATCAGCAGAACCCTCCTTGGGCGAGTGGTCCGTTCATGGAAGGAATGATGAATTGCTAAGTCCTGAGTCCATGTTCAGCTTAAACTAAAATATTAAGCTTCTGGATATGACCAAAGAAGTTTGAGTTTCAACAACTTCGATGCAGGTCTCCAAGTGGCCTAGGACTTCTATGTATCCAAACGATAGGTGGATCAACCACTATTTTAAAGCCCCATGTTTTGCTTGGTCCAAAACCGTCTGCTTGACAACACAGGGCTGTTTGGACTCTTGCCAATCCCACATGAACCCCGTACATTTATACATATACATATATATATATACATATATATATATACATATGTATAACAAACGTGTGTATATATATATATATATAATATATATATATATACATATATATATATACATATATATATTTACATATATATATATATGTCGTTGGATCGTAGATCACAACTCCACTGATAACAGTTCCCACCTGAATGGTTCAAGGTCCTCCTTGATCACCAGAAAGTAGTTGATGTTCAACCAAAGTAAAGTCGTTCCAACAGTGTTGTCCACAACACCAAAAATGTATATCTATCCAACCAAATCCCAAAAGAGTCCACTCTTTACCTTCCAACCAATCCTATGGCGGCACTCGAGATTTTTCCCCTATCTCGCTGAAATTGGCCTTGAGCCACGAGTCAAAAGGCACATGATGAATGTGCTTTCCCCTGACAGGAAACAATCGAAGGTGTATGCGGCAGCAGCAAGTTACAAAACTCACACTGGTCTCTTTTCTATGTTCGATTGTTTCACCCATGTGACACCATATTTTCGATTCGAGTTCTGTTTGAGGGTCATTTCTTCATCGTAGATTCTGAATCTTCCCAACTGCAAAACGGTGCGTAAGAAAGTTGAGTCCATGGACTTCGTTAGGCAGTCTGCCAACATGATAGCAGTGCTGATCCAGCGGCATTGGGTATGGTTAGCTGATTGTTCCTTCAGCAACATGACTTCTATGGTGGTACGCCACTCCTGGCAATTTGGCACTGCAGTCTTCGTGACTAAGTCATATAAGGATTTACAATCAGTGATCATTAACCCTGGTGGTTCTACACAAAGAGACTTTTCAGGTTTATGCCAAGCAAAAGAGGGATCCTTTATGTAACCCCACATGCATCTAATCCACGTTAACTTATCTAGTGAACTGGACATAGCGTATGCTTCGGCACTCAAAGTAGAACGAACCACCCTACCAATCTGTTTGGTATGCCATGCAACTGGAGAGAAGTCTGTCGTCTCATTGTTTGCTAGTTTCCGTGCGCATGCCATGATAAAAATCCCTTGCTGGGCTGACATCTGTTTGGCCGAAGCGAAGCTTGCATCACCAAAGCTTGCGAAACAGAGCTCCGTCATGGGGATCGGACGTACGATCACAGAGGTGTTGGCAAACTCTTGGGTTTCTTTGAGTACTCGATTTGCATCTAGCAGAGTTTGCACGGTCGCCTTGGTAATACCCTTCTGCAGGTGCGCAACTTTTGCGGCCACATCGGGCCGGGAATGCACTGCGGCGTATTGTAGGCTCCCGCAAATCCCCCTTAGTTTATTTAACTCCTGTGGAGTGATAGGGCTATCAACTTCTGCTCTACGGAGTTTAGGGATGTCTATGGGAGTTATTCTTTGGACATATTTTTCTTGGCTAACTTTGATAGAAAAATCCGGCAACTGTTCTATTTCAAGTCCTGTGAAACGGAATTTGCGTTTTTCATGTGAGCCGAAAGGAAGCTTTTTCTGAAGTTGTTGTAGGGCATAGCTAAATTTGTGGTTACCTGCCCCCAAACCGTCATCCACATGAGTCCCCACTATCCCATTGAGGATCTTTGGATCTTTGGGGTCTCTTAACAAGTACAAACAATTGTCCAAGGGATGTGCGGTGAAACCTACTTCTTCTAAGCATTTCCGAAATTCGCGATAGAATAACAAAGGGGCATCTACCCGTCCATAAGCATTTCCTTCTAGTAGGCAGATCTGATGTTTTTCCATTCCAAGCAGTTCTCTCAACTCCTTTGGGGGTTCCATTGCTAGTTGACGATCATCGGATTTCCCTCGTAGAAAGGCAGTAGTGATATCAAAGCTTTCAATACACCATTTGTGGCTGGCAGCTGTCTGGAGTAATAACATCCTACCATCTCGGGTGAGAGTGGGACTGTCGGATGCTAATTCCCCAATGTCGGGGTCCTGAAAACCTTTTACCACAAGTCGTGCTTTTGGTTTCTTTCCATCTTCGCTATTTTCATCTTCCTTCCAAGTCAGTATCCATCTAGAGGCTAAAACTCTGGAGGGGTGAATTTTATCCCGAACTATGGTTCTTACCGTTTGAGTATCCAACCAACAATTCAATTCCTTCAACTTGGCTTGCTTGAACCTCTCTCTCTCTTGGGGTGTCAAGTCACTGTAAACAAGTTCTTTCCCAAACTTGCGGGCTGCGGCATTGACCTCTGGCAGGTGCTCTTTGGGAGATTTGAGGAACTTATGGAATTGTTGTTTTGGCATTTCAAACTCAAAAGACACACACGCTGCTTCGCAAGGGTCGGGCATTGACCAAAGAGCGCCATCGTCATGAACACAGTCTGTCGTCTCGGTATTCTTCTCGATGATAACAGCATTATACACAGGTTCCATGTTACTCGGAGTTTCATTTTCCGACTGATCTGTGTCCAATGATGCAGTGTCAGGAGCAGATTGTGCCAGGCTCGGGCTTGGAACCATTGATTCAGGGCTTTCTTCACTATTGGAAGAAAACGGGGAGTCTGGAACAGGCGTTTCGACCGCAGGGTCGTGCATGGTTTCGTCAGGAATTTCGATCTCACCTCGTTGGCGTCTGATTGGTTCTTCCTCTGGTTGTCGAGAGGTCGAAAGTTCGCTATTGCCATCGTTTGCCTCTTCTTCTGTTGGAGGATTCACCTCAGATAAATCGGAGTATTGAAACATGCCACTCTTTTCTTTCAACTGTGTCTGTAAACGTTGTGCCATTTGTTTCAATTCTTCTTGGGTGTTTGAAGTTGTAAAAGTGGAGTGTCTTTGAAATTCACGCATGGAAACTGGTCTGAGATTTTCATGGGCACATCTTAACAACCGATTCATGTGAGTGATCCATATGATTGTTCTTGATTCCTGGCAAACTACCTGTGCTGGACCACACCATCGTCCTTTCTCCAATATGTTCGGGGCTTTTCGTTTATCCCAAAACATGCACAACTGTCCACACAGCCATTCATGTATCACACCTCGTGACCTATGAAGGGCTGCTCTGCGAATTGCAGCATGATTGTCAGCATGCCAGAAAGCTGCTCTTGCGGCTGTCCGCAATTCAAGACTTCGCTTAAACTGCTCGGATGCTGGGTCGGGTGAAAGGCACATGTGATGAGCAGTTGATTCTTCGTCTGAGAGTAGTGACCCAGGAAGTTTAGAGGCCTTACCTAGTACAGCTTGTTCTGGACTATATCCGTTATTCACTATCATAGAATTTTTCGCTCGGAAACACTGGTTAAGAGCCTCATCTATTTCAGCTAGACTGTTGAAGTTCTGTGCATGGTCCATTCTTTCAAGCATTTCCTTGATCACACCTCCATGCCTCTCGATACGACCACGTTGCCACGGAGCGGCAGTGAGCACTGGCTGAATGCTGTGGGCTTGCAAAAAATCTTTCCATGGCTGGGATACAAACTCTCCACCTTGATCATGTAGTATTTCCTGTGGGGATCCTGCCCATTGAATCCACATCTGTTTCGTTGTACGGATGGAGGCTTGGGTATCCCGGGTTATCCTTTGACCTAAATGCAAACGGGTAGCATCATCTAGGATATGGAACACATAGATTTGAATACCCCTTTTACTACACCAGTCAAAACCATCCAAAAGAATTCTTTCATTAAAATCCTTCGGGTCTTTGAGTTGGCCGGGAGTAGTCTTTTGTGGTGGGTGTCTCTCAGCGCATGATGGACACACAAAGTCGGCAGCACCTTCCACCAGGTGTTCATGTGCTTTGGATTCCTTTAGATGTCGGGCCAGTCTTTCGGCTGTGGGGTGTCCTAGATTATTATGAATCTTGCGCAACATGGACTGTTGCTCTCGAGTAAGTTTCAGGAAATTTGGGCCTGAAACAGTGGCACTTAAAGGAGTCCAGCTGGGCACATCTACCTGCACTGGTGGACTGGCTGTTGATTCAGCGGCTTTTGTCTCAATTGATCTATTGGCGGGATCGGCTGCTGGCATTATAGGTGTATCAGGTCGGCTGTCATCTCTGGAAAACAAACACAACATGATATGGCTTGGCACCTCTTTTCGACAAGCCCTTTTCCGAGTTAATTCACTCCAAACTTCAAGTCCTAGGTCAATTATTTCATGAGTGAATCTTTTCTGTACTATGCTATGTCTTTTCGGCAGCTGATCTCTCCAAGCCTCTTCGCCCAACAAAAGACGATCTAGGCCTTTTCCTGCTTTGACTGCACCAATGTTCTCATGTGGAAACAGTTTCTGAATTTCCTGGAAGACTTCATCTTGCGGGTCTTCCCAAGTGACAACACCTGATTTGGGAAGTTTTCTCTGTAGAAATTCAAACATTGGTTTCCACACGTTCGTGGTGTCGTGTGGTGCAGAGGCTTCACCAGAGTTGGTACGTGCCCTTTTTGCAGGCGGCTCTATTTCATCTACATGGCAAATTGGCGCCTCATAGGGGCCTTGGGATGTTTGCATGATTCCACGGACAATGGTCAGCGCAAGCTTGCGTGGATAGAAAGCAGCAAACCTGGACACGGAAATGCTATGGCCCTTCCACTGACATCTTCCTGCTATGGTACTATGACTATGTTCACGATTGCAAACACGGCAGTCCAAAACAGAAAACATTTCAACTGAGGTGGTTTGTATGCGAGTGGATTTTCTCATCAACTGATTTTCACTTGGATGTCTCAGGCCAAAAGCACATTGGTCCAGCTGGGCCGGAATGGAACGCTTCAAAAACGGCTGTATCTCCTGCTGCTTCCAAACGCCGGAGGTTTTGGGGCTTTCGAGATGGGTGTGTCGACCCTCATCATGCTGAATCTGAGCTACCACATTACACAATACCAAGTGTTCTTTGGCAAGACGCTGTTGGTGCATGACTTGTTCATAACTAGAAAGGCTTCGCATGGAATTAAAGCGGTTCCAGGCACACCAAGGACCACATTCCGGGGCAAGCCAAATATGTTTTGGACTCTGTGTCTTGATGATGTGAAACAAGGCTCTTCTTCCAGTAGCTGTCGATAAATCCCCATCTTCATATGTAAACCTCCTTGCTCGCAAACCATGTTCTTGTGCCACAGTGGTCAACATGCTGTTAGGGAACGCATACACTTCTAGGATGTCCAACTGTTCTGACTTGTGAAAGCTCTTTCCACATTCTGACTGTTGCATCTCAGTCCACAATTGTCTTTCTTTAAAACTAGATTTATGTGACATCCTAGAATCTTGAAATCCCTCCCAAATGCCTCTCATGGAACCGGGTTGTTGGCCAATTGCTCCAGTTGATTGCGAGCTCGGGCATAGCTTGCGAAATCCGCCACATCCTCGGAAAGGTTGTCGGCTCTGGCCAAGATCCACTTGATGTAACCTGGGTCGGACTCGTACACATGGGCGTAACGAGACCTCAGGTGCTTTTTGCCAAAGCCCACGATCTTGTTTCCCCAGCTTTCGAGGGATGCTTGAGTCACCATCAATTGGCTTCCAATCTCGGAAGCTGCGTAAGACGATCCTGGGCTTCCCATCATTGCAGCTGGTGGTCGGGCACTTGGTGTCATTGACACGTGCGGCATGGGCTGTCTCACTGGCATTGGAGGAGGCTGATTGTTGGGAGCTCTGACATTCATCATCACAGCAGGCATCGATTGGGAAGAATTTGGCACCGTTGATGCAGCTTGGCCTTGTGACGGCACCATCTCGGCTTCCCATTCGAAATCTTCTGATCCTGGAACGTGGTTCACAGGGCTCACTATAGGTCCTGGACATGTGGGTGGCTTCTGTTGGAACTGAGCTTGAATCAGATTCCCCAACTGGTCGATCGTCCGACGTTGCTGGGCCACTTCGTGAATCAACTGATTCACAGGGTTCATCTGGAGCTCCGTGGCTTCTTGGTTCGGATCGATCGCACTGGTCATGGTGAACACGATGGTCATCAGGAGCTTCAGACTGGCTAACACTTGATGCGACAAAAGCTGCTGCATTGGACTTGACATCAGGCTGACAAAGATCGGACATGTCAATCATGAACAACCCATTCTTGTTTTCTTTCAAATACAGTGACCTTTGCAACGTCTTGAGAAAACATGTGTTTTGCCCTAGGTCTATCATAGCTCCTAAACTCTTCATGGTCTTAATTGACAGCAGGAAAGGTGTGGCTTTCGGCACTACTTCAATTAGCAACCAAATTCGGATTCCCTTGTGGACCAATGGTATGCGTAACTGCTTGTAGCTATATGCAACTTGGTTATTTCCAAAACGGAAACCTACTCTGCTGGGTTTCTCCACGACTTGGTCACGGACACTGGCTGGCAGTTTTTGGAGCATCGCGGGGACATGGTCTTGTCCGATCACACTGCGACTGGCACCTGTCCCCAGTATGGCCATTCCTTGACTTTGCATGGCATCTGAGTGATTCTGGCTGACAAAACCATCGGCTCTATTGGTTGGTCTCGGATGCATCTTCCTGGCGGCACGGGTGTTGGGTGCTGAGGTCACCACTGCTGGTTTCAGGCTGTTTTCTGGACCACTGTTTTTGGTTACCCCTTTATCCCCAATTACCCCTTTATTAACCCGCTTATACCCCGGCTTATTCAGTTTCTTACCCCAAAAGGCTTTCACGTCTTCAACATTTTGCTCGCAGAAAACTGGTTTTCGGTAGCATGAGGCAACGAAACATGTTTCACAACGGGTGCACGCCTGTTCACTCAACTCTTCAAAGACCACTTGGCTGGTCTCCTCTTCGGCATCGGATGCTTCGGAAGGCATGGAGAAGGCAACGTTGGCAGTTTCACGGGCTTCTTTCCTCTGAGGGCATTCTGCGCGCCAATGACCAAGGGCGCCGCAGAGCTTGCAATGCGTTTTTGCAATGCGAGCCAACAACTCTTCTTTTCCAGACTTTCCAACACCTTTGCGGTATGGCCGGGAGCCATCTTTGAACCCACCTTTCCCTTTTCCTTTTCCAGTGGGCCAAAACCCTCGGCTGCGACGGCGATCATTGATCCTCTGCCTAGCCTCATTGTATGAGACCATTGCTTGTTGCATGTCAGGAATCTCTTGCAGCATCTCTTCGAAATCACGCTCAAACTGTTGCACTACGTTGGCATCCTCATCTCCCTGAGACACTAGGTATTCCAGATGCTCGGTTGTCAAAACATCCTCTTCCTCGTGGTATGCAACGTAAGTGCTTTGAACCGGAAGGCTTTCATCGGATTGGGTAGGTGGCTCTTCCACCTCTGAGAAATTGATCGGGTAAATCTTTTTCTTGGCTTCACCAGGACCCATCAACACACGTGTGGACAACGACCTCATGGCTTGGTCAACTGCGGTCAGATCCAGCTTACCACCTGTCATCGTCAGGATTTTCTTTTTGTCTTCGGACGACAAACCTGACTGTCTCAACATCACGAAGGCTTGCATTTGTTTGACAGTGACATCATCACCTATCTCATTGAATGCAGCTTGAAGGCGAAGTGAGAAACTATGGGAGGCCTCATCAGACTTCTGTACTACCTTGTAGAGTGCTCGTTCAAACAGTTCATACGTTTTCATCTCTGATGTTTCTTCCCAAGCTGACAAAGCGGCCAACAAGTATTCAACACCTGAGTCGGCCTTGGTGAGCTTCTTCGGATCTAACTGACGCACCTGGGACTAAGCTGTCCCTTTACACAACATAGCTAACCTGGGAGCTAAGTTGGGCTTGTCCTTCTCGGGCATGACACCGTGGATGAACCTGGCTTTCTGTGAAAACTCTCGAATGTCATCTTCACTCGGGTCAAAACTGGGCAGCAAATTCCAAAAATTGGAACCCTGCTGGGAGTCACCGTTCCCATCAGTTGAGGCAGACTCTTTAGGAGGCATTGCTCACTATCCAGAAGCCACCAAACTAGCGGGCCGGCTTTGCGTGCAAGTAGCACGAGCCTCTAGGCTCCGCTACCAGTGTCGTTGGATCGTAGATCACAACTCCACTGATAACAGTTCCCACCTGAATGGTTCAAGGTCCTCCTTGATCACCAGAAAGTAGTTGATGTTCAACCAAAGTAAAGTCGTTCCAACAGTGTTGTCCACAACACCAAAAATGTATATCTATCCAACCAAATCCCAAAAGAGTCCACTCTTCACCTTCCAACCAATCCTATGGCGGCACTCGAGATTTTTCCCCTATCTCGCTGAAATTGGCCTTGAGCCACGAGTCAAAAGGCACATGATGAATGTGTTTTCCCCTGACAGGAAACAATCGAAGGTGTATGCGGCAGCAGCAAGTTACAAAACTCACATATATACATATATATATATATACATATATATATATATGCATGACATATAGTTATATATATATATATATATTTATATTCATACATATGTACATGTTATTATATCTGTCAATTAAATGCTGTTGAACAATTTGATAGATGCCCTGAAAAAAAAAAAAAAAAACATGGCGCCATTGGAGATGTTGACCACTGTCTTCCCCTACATCGATGCTTTTCTGGCAATCACACCCTATCAATCCAAGTACTGTACCTTGGTTGCAAGCTTTTGGCCTATGATTTAGGGAATTCAGATCATGATTTGCCCAGCTGTGAGCCTCCATTTTAATCCGGGCCTTATCCCAGTAGTCATAACCACAGAATGTGGTCCTCCACCAGGGACCAGCTCCAAAAATCGGGGCCAAGTGTGTTTCTCAACTGAAGTTTACAAAATTCACTTTAGGTCTAATTGAGCAGAGTTGCTTTTATGGTTTAAAGGTACGTACTATCCCTTAAAGTTGCCTACGCAGCGTCTATGCTGCGGCTACTCGAACTGTGCAGTAGCCTATGCGCGACGCAGTTTCTGGGAAGGTGCCTACTCAAAGCCTACGCGAGACTCCGCTGACTGGACAATAGCCTGCGCGGCTGTGGTGCTGTCAAAAAAATCAGCTGCTCAATATTCAATTCAGCGTATTTCATCAAATCTTTGTGTCCTATCTCTGAGTATCCTATCGTTTTTTTGCTAAGCGAGAGTCGGTCTTCAGCATGGAATGCACCAGCAAACACAGGGCAGGTCGCAGTCTCTTGCCACCACTGCCTCAGCTTGGAGTGGGTCATCGAAAACAATCCAGTTGATGGATGTGTTTAGATGTCTGTGTAACTGTACAATAATCAGAAGAAAAAAAACAATAACAATAATGATAAGAATAAGAATAATGTGATACTAACAATACTAATAATACGCGCAAATGATAATACTACAGTAATAATAGCAGTAGTAATAATTAAGAAATAGTAAAATATACTGTATATATTATACATGATTAAGTTATACATGTCAGTGCATATCAGGGTCTATTATGTCTATGTCTCTGTGCACAGAAACCAGTCCGGTTCTATTGGCTCATTCTTGGCTCATCATTGGATCGAAAAGGCGATCGTTTCCTGCCAGAGGCACTAAACACTTCCGTGATGGCATTCTTCAGCTTGGTGCTTTGAGCAGCTTCTCCTTGGGAAATTGGCCGCCTTTAAATATCACAAGCAGCTATGCTGGACTTGTACACCATATATAATATATAGTTGTTTTTTAACCACGGAAAGACACATGAACCAAGAAAAAATGGGGGGATACAAACCAAAGGCGGATATGTGTTGGGGGTTGCATATCAACTCAACAAAGGGGTGAAGGATAACCAGAGCTCGGTTGCGTACATCCTCAACAACAACAACAACAACAACAACAACAACAACAACAACAACAACAACAACGACAACAACGACAACGACAACGACAACGACAACGACAACGACAGCGACAGCCACAGCGACAGCGACAGCGACAACGACAACGACAGCGACAACGACAACGACAGTGACAACGACAACGACAACAACAACAGCATCATCATCATCATCATAATCATCATCATCATCACATATCAACTCAACAAGTACGTCGTACTTCAACTACTGTATTTCAGGTAAAAATGCGCTTGGCTCAACAGTAATCCCCATTTCAACTTCAACTTCGTTTTTCATCCGGAACCCTCAGCCTGCTCTGGGTATTTCTGAGCCACACAAGGCGAGATCTGTTGGATATCTCCCAATTTATCGAGGGGAAAAAATGGGAGAACAGCAGCCAGGAACAGCCACTCAAATGATATAGTCCTGGATCAAATGACTTAAGTAATTCATAGTAATTCACTGCCCGTAAGGTTATTTGGGGATAATACCCTCTGGTAAACTAACATAGCTATGGAAAATCACCATGTTTAATGGGAAAAAACACCACTATAAATTGCCATGTTCAATAGCTACGTTAAATTACCAGAGTGTAAATGATAATAAGCCATACAAACCATCACTCCGTCGCACTCCGTCGTATCTCCGCTCCTGGCCTATTGGACTCCCCATTTCGTAAGGATATTCATCAATGGCTCCCGCTCTTGCAATGTATCTCACATTGTTGGCAGATCTCACATTCTGTTCGGGAAATCTCTAAGTCTTTCATGTTTTTTGGTAGATCTTCCATGTTTTGTTGCTAAGTTTTCACAACTTGGACATTGCTGGTAAATCTGCAATTCTCTCGTTTATTTTGGTTAGATCATGGTAGATCTGTATGTTTGCTAAATCTCATATCCCATGGGATCCATGTATGGTATATATACTAACATTGGGGGTATATTGATGGCAAATGTTACCATATATATAGCATACATGGATCCTATGGGTATGTTTAATGGCCAATCGATGAATAAATGGCATTTTTGGCTCGTAAACCGCCCAGCTTTTGTTGGATGAATCCGTCGAATTAGCGCAAAATCCCTCAGTATAGGGTTTATAGCTTTGCCCCTCAAATAGAACCAATACTTTAGGAAAAAAAAAAAACGATCATGTTTTCCCGCTAAGCCATGTATATATATATATATATATTATATATATATATATATGCTATATTATATATTATATATGATATATTATAATATATTATATTATATTATATTATATATTATTATTATTAATTATTATTATTATTTATTATTATTATTATTTATTATTATTAGTATTATTATTATTATATATATGTATAACGGTTGTAAATCCAGTTAAATTCCCATGATATCCTCATTTATGGTTGATTTTATACCCATAAACCATCCATTTATATCCATTTAGAATTATATAAATATCGATATACATATATGATACCCAATCCCATTCAAAGTTCATTATAGCCCCATCTCCAAATTTTGGGTGATGAAATTCTCAGTTTTCCATGGTTTTCTTGCGGGAAATCCCTGTTTTTGTTGGGGACCAAGTCACTGAGTGCCAGAAGGCGTTTCTGAACTTCGTCTCGACCCTCCGTCACCTGGCATCATCCTAGAGGGGGATCGTGGGGATTTTCGTGTGAAAACCATGGGGAAAACCATGGGGAAATGAATTTTCATCGGAAAATCAGCCCAGAAAAAATAGCCATAGTTGAATGGGAAAATCATGGAAAATCATGGAAAATCATGGAAAATCGACTTTGACATCATCCAAAAATGCTGGATTTCCAATCTGTGAGGATATCCTGGTTCACCTCGCGTGAACCAGCAAGTGTACTCTCTGGTAATTTGAGAAGACAATGGGGAATCTCCATGTGAATTGGGAACATCTATATACTTTGAAGTCATCTAAACATGCTGGGTGTTCCACTGCCATGATGATTCATCTCACTTATGTGTGATTCTAATTATAGATAGACTGACTGAGTAATGATGGAAATTGAATTATATATACTAAGAAAATTACATGTGTACATCTCAAAATTATTATGGTAATGTCGGATGATATCATTCAAAATTTACTACTTGGAAGTGCGTCCCACGATCCTCGTCAGTTTCAATGGAAAAAAAAAACTCCCATATCTCCGAGGTGCAGAAGTGTAATCGGCGAATAATCCCGGTTTGTAAGTCCCCTGATTCATGTTTTTTTTCCATGTCTATATATATATACATATAATTATATGCCATGTAAAATATATATATACATATATACATTATAAATGAATCACAATTGAATATATATATATATGGTCAAATGCAGTACTGTACCAGTCGCTAAGCGGGACGATCCTCCAAGCAGGTTAGCATTTTAAGGGCTACTACCAGAGGCTTCTTGACAGGCAGCAAGCCCAAATGAATTATTCAATTATTCTCTGAGAATTATTCAATCATTTGTCCTTCAAAAACTATTATTCATGGTGATACTTCACCAATGTGGTTTACTTCAAATTCCTCCCCCTTGAAGATCCTTTTACAGTAATGTCTGGTAATTTAATATAGCTATCGAAAATCACCACTTTAATAAGTATAATAGTATATAATCGAACTAAATGGGCCATCTGTACCATAGAAACCCGTAAGAATTACAGGATAGTATACATTATCTATATACATCCCTATTGCTTTCAATCATTAATACAGTAGTTTCATATTATCAACATATTTGGTTGGTGGTTTCAACCCCTCTGAAAAATATGAGTTCGTCAGTTGGGATCATTATTCCCAACTTAATGGAAAGTCATAAATTCATGTTCCAAACCACCAACCGGATATTATCCCAGTATCTGATGTAATGGGTTTTCCCCGAGGACTTGCCAGGCTTGGTTGGTATATCCCATTGTCCCATGGTTGTATCCTATGTATATCCCGTCAAGCCACCATTTTTAATGGCCAAAGCACGATTTTTAGTGGTCAAACCCACCATGTTTGATGTTCAAACCACTATGTCACTATATTTTAATCGTTAGGCCATGTTAGGCCAGCATTTTTAGTGGCTAAACCACAAGTTGTCATGGCCCAAGCCAGCATTTTTGCTGTTTCAACCAGATTTTTTTCACCCAAGTGGCACAGGAGAGCAGGTGGTTCAAGTCCAACTGCTGCGGCAACGGCGTCCTCCGCTCCAAGCCTCTCAGGATCAGCCACTCCACCTGTGGTGCTGGGTCATTTGTAACCCTACAAATGGGATGCATATATTGATATGGTATCATTAATAATTATGTGGGATAAAGGAATGTTATATATATATATAAAATGAGATGTTTATATTCATGGCATGTTATATAAAATATTAATAATCATTGATGCTAACATGTGGTATGGTATCCTATAGTATTGATATATTCCACTAATATTGAATATATTCCACAATATTACTATTGGAGCTATAATACATTACCCTCTGGAAAATTAACATAGACTCTGAAAATAAACCATTTTTATTGGAAACTAATGTTCCAACCTCTATCTGGCAGGGTCTATGTTAATTTACTGGAAGGTAAGGATGATATTAAAATATTGGGGCTTTGACATATTATATATATAATGATATATTGCTATATCATCTATATCAATCAGCAGATCACTTGTTTTTTACCCGATGATGCGTGACATGATGATTGATAGCCATTGACAGCAGGTTTGATATTGTTTATATTATGATTAGCCTATGTTTTCTTTGAACGGTACAGCAACCCGAAAAAGAAATATTTACCGCTATATGTTCGAATCGGATTTTATCAACTGTTGATACAATATGATTCGAAAATATAGTGGTAAGTAGAACCGTTTTCATAAATCTTGTTGGGTGCTACTATACCCACGAGACTTAAGATCCAAACTACAAAAAGGCCGAATGATTGCCATGGGCTCTAAACCATTGATTTTACATTCCTGGGAAGCCTTTTACTTCCAATTTCAGGGTGCCTTTTTTAACAACACTGGCATCCAGGTGCAAATCCAGATCAAGACTATAAAAAGTCGTACCTGTTCAAAGAAATATGTTGTGATATGATATGGCTATGAGTCAAAAAAAAATAAAAAAATAAAAACCAGGGGACCAGAGATTTTAGTCTATTTTCGGTCTTAGCCAGCTAGTTGTTGGGGTATCCATAAAATTTTCACCTGTACTGCTGCCAGTTCTCATCGAATGCCATCGACTGTTGGTGTTCATCAGATGGATTGGGTCAGCTGTTGGTAGTTGGCTGGTTCGGAACCTCGAACCGGCACGATCTCGGTATGTGTCATGGTAAAAATCACTATGGTTGGTAATCATTAATGGTTAATAATGGTGATTATATAATATAATGGTTAATAATGGTGATTAATGGTTAATAATGGGTATATGCCATGGTTTATAGATGTTTTGCAGCCACAAAAACTCGACCGAACTCCATGTCCCATCGCCCCGTTGCGCGGTGCAACGGGTACCTCCTCCGAATCAAACTCCAGGCCCAGGCCCTTTGGCGTACGACGACGCGAGGATAAGGTGACCTTAAGGCGCTGCGGTCACGAATGCACCATCCTTTGACCAGAGAAAAACATGGGATCTTTGGTGATTTAACCAGGAAAAATTGGGGTCATGGATAAGCAACTGGGACACTGGGACATACCATCCCCAAACTCACAGCTTGACCCATTTTCAATGGCCAATGTTCAGTGGAAAAATCAAGCCACTTCCCAACTCATGGCAGGTGTCAGGATCTCGGAAGTGAAATCAGCCCAGCGAAGGATTGAATTGATATGAATGGATGAAATAATCATCAAATCATCAAATGGTTTGGGATGAATTTGTGATTTCATGGGTGTGGAAAGTATAAATTTGATTGTAATATTTTAAATGTCAAAGAGGTGTGTAACCCGTGGACACGTTGAACCGTTGCCCATACCTTCAACATGACGCTTTGCCCAAAACGTTTTGGGGGTCTGTGTTGGTTGGGAGATAGTACAATCAAAGAGAATCCTTAGTGTAAGGGAAAATCTAGGAAACCGCGTTTTTTTTTTACATAAAGAATGGGACCCCAAAAAGGGTTTCTAGGGCTGTTTAGCATTGGGGGAAGGGATTGTTTCAGAGGGATAATGAACAGAGATTGAGAGAAGAGCCAACAATGATATTGCTAGCCGAACCTTACCCTAACAGGCCCTCAAGTAATTACTACGGTATTCCCCACATACATTGGGATACAACAACCCCAAAAGGTCCTGTTGCGACCCGCCAAGAGATTTCCACGATTCTGCTGGGTGGTGTCAACCAATCCCAAAAGTATGCCTGTCAATGAAATCATCCTAGGTGAGATGGAAAATACATATGATTGAAACCACCATCCAGAATAGGCATCTGTCCAAAATGATTCTTAAAGATGTTAGATGGAAGCTCAACGATGTCACAATCATGCCAATCATCCCAGGCAGTTTTTTTGTAGATCAGGCACATATTTCACAAACATTAACAGTGGCAGCAATTATAATGTTTCACCAATTATGAATTCACCATAATTCACCTATATAATAAATATCGAGAATCAGGAAAATATATAAAAGATGTTCACCTGCCAGATCAATTGTCATCCCAATAATATCTGGGTATGGTTCAAAATTAAAGACCTGGGGAACCATAGATGTTAGTCTATCTTTAGTATTGATCATCCAATTATTGGCTGATTGGTGGTTTCAACCCCTCTGAAAAATATGAGTTCGTCAGTTGGGATTATTCAATTATTCTTCCCAATATATGGAAATTTCCATGTTCCAAACCACCAACCAGCAATTATTGGGGTACCCAATTTTGACCCATGGCCCATACCCATTTCACAAACATCTTTGAAAGCACCCAGTGTCAGCAAGGCGCATCATCCCCTCGTGCAATGGCCTGAATGGACTCCAACCTGACGGCCATCATTTCCCACAAAAAAAACACCAGCAAAACTTGAGCCCGCATGGAGAAGAATATCATAAGAATATTCAATTAGACCTTCCCAAAAGTATCTTGAAGTACGGTGAAGTACCTTGGAGTCAATTCAATTGGCTTTTATGATGTTTTATGTACCTTTATGTGGCTGAAATGAATGCAAATTATCAGGACTGTGGCAAAGTAGAGCTACTGCTTCCTTTCGGCCAATCAGTGGCTTCAGCCATCGAGCGGCATCCTACCCCGACCCGCCCGCCTGTTCTTGGAGCGTTGTTCGCTACTATGCACTCGTTGCAACTGAGCCCGAAGCCTCAAGTTGGCCACCTGAGGCATCAAGCAGCAACAGCAGCAACAATCACTGGAATTTTAAGGGGATATTGTGGCGTTGGAACCATATACAATCAACACATTAAAAGGATTCAGCATCATGTTGATGAGACAGGAGAGTAGCGACCAGCAATCACCGGTTTCTGCATTCTTCCCTTCCAAACAATATCAATCAACTGGTTTGACCCAACCCCCAATGCCCTGAAGACACTCTGCATCATCCAACCAAACAGGGCATTTTAATGGCTAAAATACTTGGGTATGGATCAAGACTGGGAACCAGGTGCCGTACGCGAAACTCGAACACAGAGACTTGGGTATATAAACATCCATAAACTAATCCAAACCATCCCAGCTCAGCAAAATGTTCGACTTCATGTGTTGTAATCCCACGACTTTTGACCTGTGGAATTCCTGAAGAAATCATGTTCACATGTGATCCATACATGGGTCAGAAAGAAAGTACGCCAACTTCCCAAATGGAAGAGTAAAATCCCGTACATAAAGTAGGCGAACTGTTTCGGAGTCATTGTCATTGTTCGCCGATTTTCAAATCTACTATTTCAGTTCTCTCTTGATTGTGTAGCTTTAGAAATGACAAAGATTCTTGCTTCATTTGTTGAGTGTATTTTCTTCAAAATATCAAAAAAGAATCCGGGTCCTGAAGTTGCATTTTCTTTAGTAGAGCTTGTTTCAAAAATGCCTCCCAGGGTCCAGAATCATGCTGACCACTGAATCTAAAGCTTTGGTTGAACCCCCTGAGAAATGTTCCCCAATTTATCCCAATTTCCTCAATTTCCATTTGAACCTCAAAAAACGATGTTCTCGACCTCATCCCCTTGATACCCACTGTAGCATAATCTTAGATACCCTGCATGTTTTTCGCTGATTAGCTTTGGTTGATCCAGTTCCCAGGTCTGTCTGAAAATAGGGTTTCCCCCAATGATATCCAACGATCGCCATTTCTGGGTGGGTTTTGGGGGTAGCCCCTTCAAGCTTCCCCACAACAGATATCCCAAGAGAGTCTATTTCAAACATATCCATAGGTTCCCATAGCATTCATCACCAATTCTCCCCATGTTTTTCTACATCGCCGGTGTCCGCCGCTCTCCTCCCGAAACGCCGAAACTGGCACCTTCATATCGAAGACGCGACTCTCAGGATCACCGAAGTCCTCCGAGGACAGGTCGTCGGAGGACACGTTGCCATCCTCCATCAGGTGCAGACAGGCCACCTGGGCGAATTTTGCAGCGGGTTCAAACGTTCAAACAGCTAGGGATAGGATAGTTCATGAGGATATCATGGGCACTTGTGAAAATACTATATCAATGGGGTTACCCATGGCGGGCCGGGTAGTTCAGCCAGTTATAATTGGGATCTCAATTAAGCACTGTTAAAGGGGACTTGCGATCACCAGGGTAATTTATCTGTTGGCATTGGCTGAAATACCAGGCAAATAACATGACTTTTCGATTGGATTTCATCAGTAATATAGGAATGTTAACCATGAAACATAGGGGACCCTGGTATTCACCAACAAAAAAAGGGACTATATTTATATGACTATGGTTTTGGGATTTCAACCAACACCCCTAAAAGTTTTTTATGATCAGGCTTATCAACCACCAACAAGGGCGAATAAAGGCTTCAACTGGCATCTGTGTATTATATTGTACTGTGATATATTATGTAGGGGGTCACCGTCTCGATGGAGTGGTTGACTCACCAAAAAAACTGGGATTGTGAAAGGTAGAGAGCACTTGGTGATTCATCCTGACTAGTAAGTACTTTATACACAATGCTATAAATGGGGTAAGTTGGAAACCTTTAAACCTACTTACGATTCCTACGAAGAACCACCGAATTCGAATGTCCCCACAGTTGATGGATAATTCTGGATCATCCAATAGCACAAGGATTCGGAATCTCAATGGTTCTTGGATCATCCTCGAGGAGCTACGAATATTACCAACTATGATGAATAATGCTTGAGACTTGAGATACAAAGAATTCACAGTAACGACCAAGTAGAGTAGAGTCTATTTTGGCATGGGTCAAACTTGCGTATCCCTGAAAATTGATTGTTAATATCGTTAATAATTAAAATATCTTAAAACGATCAGTCCATATCAGTCCAATCTGCGATTTTTCTGTTGAAATGTTGACCCATACTTCCAAAAAACTGTCCTAGTCCTAGACCCTCTGGATGACACTTCAAGGTGAGCCCACTTCGTTCGCCAAGTTGGCTTACTTCATCTTACTTCACGAGCTGAATTCTATCGTTCACGCTAGATAACCTAGATATGTCAAATGAAAGATGGATGGCGTTAGCTAACTTACCCTCCAATCAGCTCCATGGCTGGAGCTCCCCCACCAGCTGTTCGATTCGACATTCGATTCTCCATGGCTGAAATTCCCATGGATTTCCCGTGTTTTCACGGCCAAGAGACGCCCCGGACCAAGGTTAACAGCGCTTCCTTCTCCTCGCTCTCCTCCAGGCACTCCAAACGCGCCGCGGCTCGGGCCTAGGCCGAGCCGATCCAATTGGAGATGATGTTGGATCAATTTGGAGGAACACATGTCCAACAACGTATTCCAAAATAAACAAGAATACTAAACAAGACTGTTGACTGTTGATATAAATACATATATATACATATATATATACATCAATTCACCTGACCTTTTCTGAATCTTCTTGGTTACTTTACGATGTTTTTTGCAGGGACCAGTGCTTTCAAGTGCTTTTTAGCATCCAAACTTGGGCAATGGAAAGATCTGCAAACATCATCGTTGCAGCCCCGCCCAGGGACGCCAAGTTTGTTCACTAAATGAATGGTCGGCATCATGCCATACTCCTTCACTCGCCGCAATGCTTCTTCGAAATCCTGGTGAGATCAGGTGAGTAGCAAAAGGTGATGGAGTGACAGAAATCATTTGCAGCAAGCAAATGAAACTCAAGATGCATCGCTCGTAGTCATCTTTCAGGAGTCAGTGACCACAAACTCACGATAATTCATGCGTCGGACCTCAAGAGGTGACACATATTCCACTCCAGGTGCCACGTCCTCCTTGTTGGTCAAACGCGTGGCAAGCAACTCCTTGAGTCGCTGATCCCTCTGCATGGCAAAGATGATCGGAGCCGAAATGCGTCCCAACTTCAACGCTGTCTGCATGCCCACGGTTCCTGGAAAGCGCATGCAGAAACAGCGGGAAGTTCAAGAGGATAAGTGGGAGTTACTTGGGATATTCACCTTCCAAAAGAGATTGGGATGCAGTTGCTACAGTATCCGAATCTCCAAACCGAAAATCTGGAGCTGGCAACGGAATACCTGCCACGTTCATCCATTTTAGATTTCAGGTGTGTGAGTGAGCGAAACCTTCAAAATGCATCAAAATGGTGACTTTATGTGCTGTTATATAAATCTGTTAAAACACAAAAAATATGGAGCTGTTCCCCGAAAATCAACAAAATCACCTGGCTCTGACTGTTCAATGCCGTTCATTCTTGGCCTTGGGTTTCAAGTTACGGCCAAGCAGCGGACATCCTTGAGTAGCGACACCTCAGCAGCAGGGTCCAGCAAACATTCGAAAAGAACCTCGCATCATCTCAACTATATTTCACTCAACATCGCACAACCATCACCCTAGTCCCAGTACCAGTTCCTTTCCCCGATCCCCACCACCCCACCACCGCATCCCCATCCCCATCCCCATCCCCATCCGACTGAGGCGCCACCAACCCCAGATCTGCCCCAAACTCCGCCAGTTGCTGCGCGATGCCGTCGCTCACTTTGTTCACGAAGGCTGCGCAGGCGGTGGAGGCGCCGAAGAAGGCCGCCACACCGGCGACCTGGGGATGGGGGGCAAGGAGACAATGTGAGGGGAAAAGCTGGGAAACAAATTTGGAGATCTCTCATAGATTCGAAAAAATGAAAAAATGAAGAACAATCTGCAAAACAGGACGATATGAAGCTGGAACTGGCCCATTTACACATAATTTACCTATTCTGAATCGCAATTTCCATATTGTTATGTTAAATTACCAGATCTCATGCGCCAATATGTGCCATGTTTTTCACGTCTTCACATCTTAGGTCATGGCCTTCTCAATCTCCAGGTACTGCTTCACAGTCAGGTCCAAATTCCAAAGCCTCGGCCAAGCACTGTCCATGACATACAACAAGGTGGTTGGTTTCCAGTTGATGCTTTCATCCTGCAAAAAATATGACTCAATCGTACTCTATACAGCGACTGTAAACAATGAGGCACAATGTGTGTGTCATGTGCTTCGAATGTATCCCTCAGCAACTGTAACAGCTCACTTCAGCTGCTCCATATTCTGATTGGCCTGATCCCAAACTTCCACAAATTGACTTCTGGTCATGGGTCAAAAGCCCAGTAAGGCCTTGTTCACACCAAACTATTGAGCTGCCCCACATGGTTAAGATCCCCTGCTCAAAGTTGAACTGTTTGCGGGTCACATGTGGTAAATTCATCTAAACCCCCACTCACGTGATGATTGACCTTATTGGTTGTCAAGTGAGGATTAATAATCCCCCCCCGATTAATCAACCACCACTGCCCAAAAAAAAATGGTAATTTAAAAACAGGTGGCCCCCCCTGATTAATAAACCGTTTGGCCTACCCCCGATTAATCAACCACCAGTGCTGAAATCCATTTTTTTATCCAACGATTTTCATTTCCAATTCTATTTATTTCCAATTGTTTTTTTACATTTTTTATCATCATTGTTATACTTAAGGTTTAAGTTGATCATTGAAAATTTCAAAAAACAACTATTCCCCAAATGATCGATTTCTAATTAAAATCTTTATAAAAATCATCAGTTTGGATAGCTCCCAAAGGGTACCCCCCATGAGCCCATGTCCCCCATTATATAATAGTAACCAGGGTTTGCCCCTGATTAATCAACCACCTTTCTGAACCATGAGATTTTAACAAATCCAATAGAATTCTATTAAGATCTAATTGATTCAAGCCATATCCAAATTTTTACGGTTCAGAGTTGCTTATTATTAAGGGGTGGTCAAGAAAACTAGCCAGAAGGTACCCCCCCACCTTCTGGGGGGGGGGTTATTAATCCGGTGTTGGAATTACTCAAAATTCGAATGGAAAACCTTGGAGGTGCCAGCAACAAGCGTCAAAATATGGCTACGCTTCATCTGAGTTGGGTTACAACATCTTATGAGCCAGGAAATACCCTCCGGTAAACTAACATAGCTATTGAAAATGGCCATTTATAGTGGATTTTCCCATTAAAAATGGTTATTTTCCATAGTTATGTTAGTTTACCAAAGGGTAGCTGGGCTCACCCTACTTGCCCTATACGAAAGCCCCGAGGGTTGAACAACCCGCTGTAACACAAAAACCATCCGCGCGGTGCCCAAGGCTCAACTCGCGTTTCCGCAGCTGCCCATCACCTGAGCGATGATGGATACAACTGGGATGATACAACTGGTGTATATAATATAATACATATATATATATACATATATAATCATATATATATATATCTGGTGATAGTATATATACGGAACTGGCCTATCGTATTTCTGGTGATAGTATATATACATAATACATATATAATCATAATCGGGATATTTACTTGGGATATGATATTGATGGTGTAATATATAACTTGGGATATGAGTGGGACATCTATCTTTCATTGGGTCCCAGGGGCATCAGCGGCAAATTTGTCCGACCAGTTCTGGGAACATCAGTTGGTGAAAGGAGTGATATAGGACTCTTTGAACCAACCGAACTACACAAAGTTCCTAGAATTCGACTCATCAATCTCCCTGTATACCGTATACTTATCTGGTTTGTACGTGAGCCACCCTGGCTGATCTAGTCAGATGTGGGAGATCATGATCCGAAAAGTTCTGGGTATCGCTTACCATCGTACGTTGAAGTTTCATGACTTACTCACCTTCAAAAACTCACACCATACTAGCCAATGTCTCGCTCGAAGGCAAAAAAAGATAAAAAATGTGCCGAAGTGCATGATTTCTTGCAAAACGCGGAGCATTTTCAGTGATCTCCATGTTTTTTTGCAGGTCTTCCGATTCAAAATACTTCCAACCCCAGCTTCAAAACTCAGCCAGAGTCCAAAAAATTGAGGAGCAAACTCGAGTAATTCCCCAATTCTCAACCGGTTGCGAACCCAGGACGCAACAGCCATCTCCATGCAGCCAGTGGCTATATGAGGCAATGGTGTCGGCAACCAGCTTGCGACACGCGCGCGAGTCCAGCTTGGCCATGGCCCATTGAGCCGTGGCGTAGAGCGAATCACCACCTATGTGGAGATGTTGGGGTTGGGGTTGGTGTAAATGGCAAGCCCCAAAAAGATTGGATAAAATCAGCAAATTCCTATGACTGAAAAGATTGTGGTAAATCAGATTTCTATCTTCTCGGTTTCTTTTTGGGGTGAAGAAAAAAGGAAAAAAATAGGAGAAACATGAGGAACCATGGCTTTACATGGCTTTACCACAATGTAAATCTAGGGCTGTTCAATTTCAATTTCATCCAAGTCTTGGACATGTTGTGTGGCGGCTCAGGTAATCCTTCAAAACCCAGCTCGGGGCGCATGAAAATCGAGGCTTGGAAGAGTCTCCAAAGCAAATAGTTCGCAAAGTATATCCCATTCCATTACCAAGCTGCACTGGTAAAAAACTGGGTTCCTGAGATGGAGGGTTCCTGCGGTTGTCATAAACGTGTTCAAACATGACATAAAATGACCATGAATGACCCATGTTGCAGCCCGGCTGCCTAGCAGAGACACCTTTCGGCGATCCTTGGGCTCTGTCTGTGCCGCGGTGTCATAACCTCCTGAGTTTGGCATGACATGTTTCATCCATTTTCATCCCACCGGCCAAACCAGAGCTATTGAACATCATGGAAAACGGAGGATGACCCTATACCGATATGTTTCGGTGTGATGGCGTGCAACATTTGCATGTATCCCCCGGTAATTTAAGATAGCTATGGAACATGGTCCATTTACAGATGATTTACCTATCATTGATTTAGTTTAATTTTGATTTTCCATGGCTATGTGAAACTTCCAGAGGGTAGATATGTTTAGTCTTAAACAATCCTTTTCTAGCCAACCTCCCGCGTTTGATCCTCATATTATGAGTTTCACATAGTTTCACCTGCACTCCCAACTGTGACTGCGGGGCCGGGTACAATCTATACCGTCCAAAAACCCACATCTTTTTTCGTGCGTTTCTTTGAGTTCCATATTTGGGTTTGTCTAAGAATGAGAATCAACCTGAGGATGTTGGGAGGGTCCCCTAAATGATCTAAATTCTCAGGTACCAAAGCCACAGAATTCCCCAAATTGGATATGGTTGATCTATGTTGATTCCCACGATATCCCCATGGGGATCTCCCAGGAAATCCCCAAATCGACCAGGAATCCGATGGAGATACTGTTCAAGGAGATGCCCAACAGGTCGAGCCCATAGCGCGTCCTGGGACCAACACCCCTCAGTGGTGTATTAGAAGCCCATGGGTCATGACTGATGTCCCCATTTTGAACATCACCCAACCATGAATGGTATATGGTCTACTAGATGGCTACTATAAGGTGATGTCCAATATTCCCAAAATGGGACAGTTACCAACCCCTGGAAGCACTTGCTGTTTTTTCAGTTTAAAGCCTGTTGCGGGTAGCTTTTGGGACCCTCCAAAGCCAAGGAACCAAATGAGCGGATTGGCGTCCAGCCCCAGGAGAGCAGCCTGGCACGGATCAAGTCACCATTTTAGGATGATCTGCAATGTCCAAAACCCTTCAGGTAAAGATGAGGGGATATGGGGGGATACAGATTCAATTAGAGATGTTAAAGGGACTCCACCTTTGGCGGAATGATGGCCAGTCAAAGACGCGAAAAAAACATGTTTTCATTCAAGGCAGACTGAGCAAGAGAACCCCCGGATTTGCGCAAGGTTTTGCATCCAAATCTAGGGCGCTTCGTGACGCTTGGTGCAGTTTCCTCTGGTTGGTTCCTTTCAACCAATTCTAGGGATCTTTGCGATTCAATCTTGCTGTAGCTGATCCAACAACTCGCAACCATGGAACAATCATAAGTTGCGTCTCCGCATTGCATCTCAATAAGGTCGCGAAGGTTTTTTTGGTGTCATCACCCGCGGCAAGGGCGAGAAGAAACACTATTGGTAAGTTTGAAAGCCGGAATCCCAAATCAAAATGCTATGCCACTGTGCAAAACGAAGCAAACCAAAACGTGCCTAATTAGCCTAGAGTAATTCACATCAGATTCCCCATGTGACTTTTAAAAAGTCAGGCTGCGCGGCGCCTGGATGTTGGCAGTCTTCAAGGGTGCAGGATCCGCCAAGTGCTTCACAAAAGATGCAGCCACTGCCATGAAGGTCTTCCCATCGGCTTTCAATTCCTGGATTCCCATGGCGGTAACGCATGGAGGAAAGTGATTTTCAAGAGTGTAGGGCAAAAGAATAGGATAATGTCAATGGTGATAATGATGATACTCATAACAAGGAGAATAATGACAACAACAGAAAGCAAAACTAATGACTAATGATATATATATATATAATGTCAATAAAAGTTACTATCTCATAAAGAGGATCGCCTACAAATTTGGGTTGACCATCCCAAGCTTCGACTTTTCTACTCAGCTTAGGATGTTCACCAACTTCATCATGTGGTGATTGCTTGAAATCTGCCCCAAAATCAGCCAGAATTGTCATTTTATTGGCTTAAACATGCTTAAACCATTCACTTTTAGTGACCCCAGTTTCAAAAGCTACTCCATTCATCAACCATTCACCAATGAGGTGGAACCTGCTTCACCAACCATGCCCAAACTGAACTCGTCTCAATTGATCAGTATCCATACATTGACACTTGAATTCCAATTTCTCTTGCCATGTACAGTGTCATACTTGTGTGTATATATAATATATTATATAGTAATTGTGGTGTGTATATATATATGTATACACGCGTATCAAATGCCATGTAAATTCCCATCGTTGACTAAAAAATGTGGTCCAACAACTAGGTGTCTGAAAATGGCGTATACCCACCACATGGCCATGAGATCATAGGGAAAATGAATCTCATAACAAATCTCGATTGATTAGAATAATTCACCCACCTGATTTTTTTCGTAACTCGACTTGTCCCTCCCTCCTCAAAAATACGGCCCATGTGGGGGATGATTCCCCGTCGCTTGCGGTGAGGTCGCAAGCCTGTTGATCATAAGTCCCCATTCCGTGGGATATCCCATCTATAAATAGCTTAAAACATCTTATAACCATGGTTATGAACCACTTTAAATGGGGTGATTCTCCAAGAAACCTCGAGACGAAGCATGGGAGCATGGGTTGGTTCGGGGTTTTCCCCCATTGTTGTACGAAAGGCAAGTTGTTCCCCAATATTTTCACCAAAGCCTAAGACAATTGCCAGGGCTCCCATGTTCCCAGCTTTTTCCCAGCTTATTTAACCGTAGCCAGGTCTCCAAGTCCCACTGATCTTCTGCATGTAACAAGGCCGCAATGTACAACTCCTCCACCACGGTGGCCAACTCCTGGACGCCATGTCACGGGCTGTGTGTGTGTGTATTCATTTATACATTTTATCATTATGGTTATCATTATGATTACTAGTAGTGTTGTTGTTATTATTTAGTTATTAAGTATTGATTATTAGTTAATTATTGAAAATTACGTTTGTATTATTAATTATATCATTATATAGTCATTATATTCTATTATCATGATTATCATGATTCTTATGGTCATTATTATCATTATTGTTCTTATTATATATATATATAATAGATGATGGTTAGTTATACTGTGTAGATATAGAAACATATGTATTATTCATATACATAATATATATATATATGCCTAGTTTAAAACTAGAGAGACCCTGTCTTTGTTGGTCAGATATGATCCAATTTAGCCCATTACAATATATTTCTTGTTTTTTTGAGATACCCTCTGGTAATTTAACATATCTATGGAAAATCACAATTTTTAATGGGGAAATCCACTATAAATGGCCATTTTAAAATTTCAGTAGCTATGTTAAATTACCAGAGGGTAACAAGCCAATCCCTCAACTGTTCAATTTTCCGGTTCCAAGAACGGCGAAGCCCTGTGGGCGGGCAGTTGTCGGTCAGATATCTTGGCCGGCAGCCATGAGTCAATGTCTTTGCGCCAACAGTCAACCGTTTAAAGAAGCAACCGGGCGTCCCTGAAAATAGATCAAAGGCAGAAAACCATAATCCAACTGAGACAGACCTTGTTGACGTATGTAGTAGAAGGCCTGACAAACCATGAACCATACGAATTTTACCACGTGGTGGTTTCAGAGCCACCTCACGAGTGTGAGGATCCAACTTGGATAAGTGTCATGTTATCTTGGTACAGCGGTCAACACCACTCTATAGTTGTTCTATAGATGATGTTCATCGCCCCATTCTTGACGGAGTTATAGCCAATATTTCCAATATTTCTCATGGTTTGTATAGTACCAATAGGTTTTGATAATTGGGAAATCCCCCCGTTTCTAGATGATTTCCCCATGGTAGAAACCTCAATTTTTTCTGGGGATCTCCCAGCTAGCAATGTTTGATTGCCACAGGGTATATCCCAATTATGATCCCAATGATTCTCCAAGAATATGAATCCCATTTAGTTTCCTTAATGTTGCCATTATATCCCCATTAATCTTCCCATAACCTCATGGACCATCTATAAATGCCGCAACAAACCAGCCATTCCTCGTGCTCGCGCCCCAGCTTGGTCTGCGAGGGGCGCAAGGTGGCCTGGTCATGAAGGGATGATTAACGATCAACCATAGGGATAATGATGTATAAGGATGAATCATTAAGAATCGAAGTATACATGGGATAGAATTGATATTTTTTTTGGAAAAGTGATGGGAAAATCATGCGATTATATATGATTATATAATTATTAAGAATGGGAGTATACATGGGAAAAAAATGGTAGAAGGGGGAAGCTAGGACAAGACAGGTTGTAGGTCAGGTGAGAGGCTGTTATGTTTTTGTTCAATCTTGTAATCTGAAATGTTTGACTGTTTCTTTTTGGTTATATTGCTATATATATATATGTTTTAGGTTGTTGTAATAATGTTTGGTTTCAACGAGGGTAGGCTTTGTTGAGGGTGTTTTGCCTGTTATGTTTTTTATGTTGTTGTTCAATGTTTCTTCCTTATCCCACCCTGAACATGACGGCTGGAGCATCCAAAACATGGACCCCTGGATGACGAGATGATGATGATGATGATGATAATATCAATTAGTATTAATATTAATATTAATATGAATGATCATGTCAATGATGTTCCTCTGCAACTACACCTAAGTCACCTCCCCCAGTCACAGGACCGTTGCCTTGGCGCAAAGCAAGCTCACCGCAGCTCTCGACAACCTCAGCTTCGCAATCTTGATGCAGCCAAAACTTACATCCAAAACGGGTTTCAAGGTTCATCCACAGTGTCATCCAGTTGCCAATTAATTCAATTAATCATTTGATGGTTGAACCAACATGTCTCATTGTTTCTGATGGTTAACTCTCCGTTTTGACACTTAAAAACCAGCATTTGTAAACTGTCTGATCCAAGCATATCCAAGCGGCAGAAAAGACAGGAAGCCCTCCGTCCTCAAGGCTTTCTCGATACTGCCACGATATTTCGGTGGCACACGAGCCGCGAAGGTCTTCAAGTTTTTCAGCACGTTGATCAAATGCGGTTGCCTGGAAAACACGGCAGCCGTAAGTGAAATTACCAGGAAAGCAGCCTTTTTAAAGCAGAGTTGAAAAACAAAGGATGACATGTTACCAGCAAGATGCTACTAAAACATCCTAAAACAAGGTACACTCATGGGAACATCACCCATAATATCAGGTGTTGTTGATGCGTGTACTAACACTTTTCAAAAGCCCCCAGCATCCAGCACTTGGTGTCTCCCTGCCGCCCATGAAGCCACTGGCCTCACCCGTTCAATGGTGTTTAAAAAAGCATTGTTAAAGATCTTGATGAAACTCTGCGCAATGAGGTCAGTGACAATCACTGACTCCTGGCGCCACGGAATGTCGCCTGAAGGTCTGACAAGGGCATTCGTCCCATGGATATATATATATATATACAATCCCTGAAAAATGTCCAAAAAACACTGGGATATATTGCGATATTATTGAATTAACTCCAGTTCCCATCCACTTTGACAGTAAATTCACCCTCTTTTTCCTGCTCATCATATCAATCTTTCATGGTCGGCTCCTTGGTGGAAAATCTGGACGCTGACGCGGAGGACGTCACCGAGGCATTCGTCTCGTTCGTCGTCGCCACGCTGCGACGCCACGCCCGGTCCCGGCGGTCCCGGCGCCGTTTCGGCCGCAGGGCCGACACGGCGGTCGCTGCGGTTGCCGCGGCCACCGCGGCACCGGGGCCCCGGGAGCTGTTTGGGGGCGCCGCTACCGGTGTAGCGAGGCGGTCGCCCACGACGTTGCGCTCTCTTGGCACAACGGAGCCTCCAAGTTGTGTCGCATGAGGAAGCATGGAAGCATGCAGCTAAGCAAAAGTTGAACTTCACCTGGTCCTGTTGAAAGTTTTATATAGTTTGATGCTCATCCAACTAGACTTGCTATGTGGGATGCTGGCTCTTTTGATGGTAAGGTTTGAAGACAAATTGTTGCAGTTGTTTTTTCTTCACCCTGGTGTTTGCAAGCTGCTGTTCGGCGCGCATCATCAGCTGAAGTGAATCAGACTGGTATGGTGTATACCCTCTGGTAAACTAACATAGCAATGGAAAATCACCATTTTTAATGGGAAAATCAACTATTAATGGCCATCTTCAATGGCTATGTTAAATTACCAGAGGGTAAATCAGTTGCTGAAAGCCACAGGGAACGTTGAGCGATGAGCGAGTCGAATCACCTGGCTCTTCCAACCGGATCTGATATCTTGGCGACTGGCGACCGGCGAAGACTCTACAAGAGAAGCAACAAAGAAACAAAGAGCTGTGCATAATGTTATTATTATATATTATTAAATGGTAGAAATACTAAATATATAATGGTAGAAATACTAAATATATGGTAGAAATACTAAATATATAATGTTATTGTATGTTATTATTATATATTATTGCATAATGTCAACCCCGGATTTTGCTAAACCATGGTTTATTAATTAGGGGGTACCCTCCAAATAGTCACAACATGGTACATAAATGGTACCCTCCCAATTAAACAGCCTAGGGGTTTATTAATCCAGGGTTGACATTATACAGTATATGTTATCTCTAAAACTACAGTATACAATAATCCGTGAATTTCTGAAAATGTCTAAAACAGATGGATGGTGTTTAAATGTTCCAAATTGTGACAATAGCAGCCCAAGATGCAATGGATGGTACCCAAAATTGCCAGCCGCTCTAGCTTGCCATGTGAAAGAAAGCTCACATAATGTTGATGGCTAAAGAAAAACAAAGTGTACAATGTATATATATAATATAATGTGCATATATACATATTATATGTATATATATTATATACATATGACATATTACATTACATAACATATATGATCATATTAATGATCATCTATATATATACATAATCTACGTATTTCTCTAAGTCTGAGTCATAAATTTCCCCAAAAAAAGATCCAGCACCTTCCCGGCTTGAGCCGTCGCGCCGATGAAGCCCTCGCTACAGCTCCAGCCGTTCTCGGTCATCTCGTAGCCGGAGGGGATCACGGAGGGTGGATCACCTGACGTTTTTCCATCGAAAAAATGGGGAGATTCACCGGGGATAAATGGGGATCGATATGGGAATATCATATGAATATGTTTCTTTAATATGATTTTATGTATATATATATATATATGGGATTCCATGGCATAATACTTGGGATAGTATCACCATTGTTTTGGGGATTTGTTGGATGGTGACTATTTTACAAGCGGTGTAAAATCTTTGTATAAAGATAGTTTTTTCATCATAACAGTGGGTTTTTAAATGGATGCATGGTGCTTTTTTTTGGGACAAAAATGAATGCAATGGGATCTCCAATTGTTGTCGATGATTGGGATACGATTTTTTTGAGATGGACCCTCCGGAGTCAACAGCCTAAGGCTTGCTGGAAAATACCCTCTGGTTATGTCAAAATAGCGAACTGGAAAACCACCATTTTTAATGGGAAAACTCACTATTTCTATGGCCATTTTCAATAGCTATGTTAGTTTACCAGAGGGTAGTCTATTTTTTCTTCGATGTTCGATGATTGTCCCAGCCATAAACCTCCATAAAATGTTCGGGGATTAGCCATTGCGACCCGCTGAAAATTACTGTGGTAAATCTCTGTGCTCTTGAAAAATGTCCATAGCATGAAATCATGAAATCTGCAAATATTTTCACATACATCTACCCTATTGTCTGAGACTCTGTCTAGCTATCTATCTTCCTATCCATCCACCCACCTGTATTATCTGTACATGTTTACATCTGTTTATGTATACAGTACATCTATCTATATGTCTATAAATCTATCTATACGTCTATAATCTATCTATACACCTATCTATACATCTATCTTGACATCTATACATCTCATCTACCTATCCATCTACCTATACATCTATATAATCTAATCTACACCGCAAGATCCAGCAACGAAATGTTTAAGTGGCCCACAACTGGCAAACTTCAGCGAATTTCGGAAAGCGTGTAACAGTGTAATCTTTGGGTCATCACCCCCCAAGTCCCAACCAAATGGAGGTTTCCATAAATGAAGGTACCCCAAAATGGAGGGTTTATAAATGTTTATAATGGAAAATCCCAATCTCAAATGGATGATTTGAGGCTACCCAAAAGATCTAGGAAACCTCCAAATGACCAGCCATGATGTCATCACCGCTCCAAGGCACACTGCAAGACACAGCTGGGCAGTGTCACGCTGGCGTTCCGCTCCGGATCCACGTTCTCCGCTGGGCAGCTGGCGAAAGTCGTGGTGCCACTGTAGGGAGCCGTGCACTGAATCTCACCTTGGCGTTTTTGTGACATGGCCATGGGTCTTATGCTGGTTTTATACTGGTTTTCGTGGGGATTTAGTGGACAGAAAGTCTCGCCACTAGGGCCCTTGTCCGACACATTCTGTCAGGCCAGTGCAGAACAGTCGGTCTCCTAGGATCTACAAGTACCTATTGGCAGTGTTCAAGGGGGTAACCATGGGTAACCCTCTTAGTACTCAACCAACCATTCGGAAAAGGACATTTACGAACTTGGTGGTGGTTTCAAACAATCCCAACTGATCCTCGTCTTGTGATGCCATGGTCAGTTGATCATCCCTTTTTCATGAGCCAAAAGTCTCCCAAGTAACTCATTTGCAGCGCAACAGCAACTAAGGTACAAGGCAGCCTGCAAAACATTCATAGACTAAGCCATGTAGCTATATATCATCTGTACGATCAGCCCCTGACCCATAGTCATGGCTGCCGCCATCGCAATGTCTCAATATGGGGGATGACGATGGATCATGACCCAATTTATGGCCAATTTAGTGGAGAAAATGATGATGAACCATGGGATGGGTGGGCCGAATACCCATGGTCACGTCATGTCGTGACGCATGAAAGGGCCCCAGTGACAAGAGGAATTCGACTCCACTGTCGTTCCATTTGTGCAGGTGCTTCGCATCATACCTTGGGTCATGAGGAAAATTGAAAAAAAACTAGACGACGGATGGCCCGAGAGCGTAGAGGAGCAGGGTCTTCTCTTGTTAGTATGGAGACGCAATTTTAGAAACGATGTATGAAAGATGTGTTATAGGCAGTCGAGAAGAGGAGTATCAAGACCAAATAGTGAGAAGCTTTTACACACAGTAGCTTTTACACAGACACTTTTACACAGAAAGCTTTTACCCACAGAAGCTTTTACATACAGAAGCTTTTACACAGACACGTTTACACACAGATACGTTTACACACAGACACTTTTACACACAGACCCTTTTACACACAGGAGTTGCTTTTACACACAAATGCTTGTACACACAGAAGCTTTTACACATAGACGCTTTTACACACAGGCACTTTTACACACAAACACTTTTACACAGAAACTCTTTTACGCACACAGACGCTTTTACACACAGACGCTTTTACACACAGAGGCTTTTACACACAAACACTTTTACACACAAACACTTTTACACACAAACACTTTTACACACAGACGCTTTTACACACAGACGCTTTGACACACAGACGCTTTTACACGGACACTTTTACACATAGACATGTTTACACACAGACACTTTTACACACAGACCTTTTTACAGACAGGAGCTGCTTTCAGACGCTTTTACACGGACACTTTTACACACAGACATGTTTACACACAGACACTTTTACACACAGACCTTTTTACAGACAGGAGCTGCTTTTACACACAAACGCTTTTACACACAGGCACTTTTACACACAAACACTGTTACACACAAACACTTTTACACACAAACACTTTTACACACAGACGCTTTTACACGCAGACGCTTGTACACACAGAAGCTTTTACACACAAACACTTTTACGCAGAAACACTTTGACACACAGACGCTTTTACACACAGACGGCTTTACACACAAGCGCTTTTACACACAATCACTTGTACACACAGACGCTTTTACACAGAGGCCGGCCCAGGTAGTCACAGCGAAGTCATCGTTGTCGTGGCGACCTCAGCAATCCGACGGGGTGGTGTGGTGAAGTCCTATTTCCATGTGCCTCGAAACCAGCATGTATAAACATGTCATGCGGGCTATGTGCTTTGGGGCCCCCCAACCAAGGTGGTTTGCCATCTCCTGAAAAAAAGGTATAAACGGGCGGACCTGGCAGGCAGCGACCGTTTCTGGGCTGGGACACGCACAGTATTACAATATGATAGAAGTTGGTTCTTTATGGGTTTAGGGTCCTGACTCCTGACTGTGACTGGAATGGAAACTCTTATCTTAACACTCATACATCCATCTCTATATATTAAAAGTCATACATCCATCTTTATATCATATCTCTATCTCTATCTCAATATAAAATATATCGATTTGTTTCTTTGTGGTAGCAGCTTATCCAGGTAATCCATCCCATCCCGGGGCCCTGACTCGATGCAAACCTAGCTGCACAGACCAACAATGCGGACCCGCAAAGCATTCAAGGACTATGACTAATGACTGTGACAGATCACATTCAGCGATGTCCCGGCACAACTATACGCGCAAAAGGAATCGGCAGCTTTATTGCTCTTCTATGGAGTCTCAGACCGTTCTGCTTGACCCACGCCGATACACTATGGTGAGACAGGATGCACTACGGTGAAACTGAATGTCTCAAGCAAAGATGCGTGCATCAGCAAGTCTCAGACAGTTCTGGTTGACTCATGCTGATGCACTTCATTTTCAAATTCAATGCTCAGACAGTTCTGGTTGCAATACAAGAATCAAAGTTAAACATCAAATAACTAAGCTGCTCACAAAGGTGTTGACGCACGCCGATGCACTACGGTGAGACA